TCCCAGTGGTGTTTTTCTGTCTGATCAGGTTGGGAAGCCTTCAGGTTTCTTGAGAGTCTCAGGAGATTCTGCCTCACGTCTCATTGGCTAGAAGTGGTCTCTTCTTTGTAAAAATATTTGAAAGGCTGGGCATGGTTGCACACACAATCCCAGCACTCTGGGAGGCTGATGCAGGAGGATCACCAGTTCAAGCCTAGTCTGGGCAATTTAGTGACTTGGTGAGACTCTGCCTCAAAATAATAAAAATGGTCAGGAATATAGCTCAGGGCAAAGGCCCTGGGTTGAGTCCCCAGTACCATCCATCCATCCATCTGTAAAGAATAAAGCCATTTCTTTTTTGAGACAGGATCTCACTGTACATTCCAGGGTGACCTTGAACTCAATGTGTACCCCAGGCTGGCCTTAAACTGGCAGTGATCTCCTGCCTCGGCCTCCCGAATGTCATGTACAGAACTTGGACTCATATTCTACGTAGCCTTTTCAGACAGGCAGCTTTCACTCAGTAATATGCATGTAAGCTTTCATATTTTTTATGTCTTAATAACACATTTCTGTCTTTGGGGGGGGGGTTGAATCAGGGTCTCCTAGGTAGTTCAGGCTGGTCTTGAACTCACGATATAGCCCAAGCTGGCCTTGAACTCATGGCAGTCCTGCTTCAGCCTCTTAAGTGCTGGGCGCCACCACACCTGGCTTCCATTTCTTTTTAGTATTAAGTAAAATTTTATTGTAAGGATGCATCACAGTTAATCCATTCACCTCTTGAAGTCATCTTGATTGCTTCCAAGTTTTGGTAATCATTAATGAAGCTGTGGTAAATATATGTGTGTAGATTATTGTGTGGGCATGTTTTCAACTCATCTGGGTAAATACCAAGGAATACAATTGGTGAATTGCCTAAGAGAATGTTTAGTTTTGTAAGAAACTGCCAAACTGTCTTCCGAAGCATCTGTACCATTTTGCAGTCCCACTAGCAATGAGTGGGAGTTCCCCTTGGTTATCTTGTCAGCAATTGGTGTTATCTGTGTGATAGAAGTGTTGTAGTATTTCATTGGTTTTGGATTTTTTTTTTTTTTTTGAGACAGAGTCTGGCTGTGTAGTTCAACCTAATCTTGAACTCACGATGTAGCCCAGGCTGGCCTCGAACTCACAGGAGCAGTCCTCCTGCATCAGCCTCCTGTGCATTTTCTTTAGCCTGCTAAGGTTATATTGTCCTAGAGGATCTGGGGGCCATATTTCTTACTACCTTGGAATAGCTTTTTCTTTTCATTTCAGTAGCTTTAATAAGGCCAATTCCTAGAAATGTAGTAGACAACGTAAGGAGTCAGAAGCAGTGAGGAATGTCTGTCCCTTGATCTATTTAATTCCTGTTTGCATGGGTTCTAAATTTCTTTTCTGAAAGCAGCTGGTTGCATTTCTGACAGTTGCCACGGCCCTGACTGGCACAGGGAGTTCTTCATTCTTGTGCCTGTGTGTAGGATGTGGAGCCAGTCTGACTGGACGAACTCTGGCTTTGGCACTTTCAGCTATGCAGAATGGGGAAGTAATTTAACTTGTTTCAGTTTCCTCGTCTGTAAAACTGAGGTAATACCTGACAGGGTCATGTGTAAAATGCTCCGTTTCCTAGTAGATAACTCCGTAATGGTGATAAATTTTGCTTATTTCACTGACAGTGTTTTATAGAAGTAGTACAAGACATCCACCTCCCTTTTGTGAGATTTGGAAGTGCTCTGAAGAGACAGACAGTGGAAAGTTTTGGGTAAAAGTAAATTTCTTCGTAAACAAAAGCCAGTCCCTTCTACTTATATGCTGGATAATACCCCTTTTGTACAAGATTTTGCATTCTTTTTCTTCCCCAGAGGGAACTACTTCTATTACTTAGGGTTCTTTGGTACCGTACTTACCTCTAAGGTTTTAAATGTTTGAATTTTTGTTTCTTGATTTCCTGTTTATTTCTCCCTTCCAAAACTAAAGATGCTGTTATTTTCCTGTTGTTATATTCACCCCTCATGCGTATCCTTTTCATCTCCTCACGTTTCAAATACAGTTTGTCGAAAACCAGTTAGCATGCCAGTTTGGTGGGTGTTAGCAGAAGGTAAGCCTCCAAGTCAGAAACGAAGAGCAGTTCCAGAAATTCCCACAGGGTGACAGCGGGTGCCTGGAAGGCAACTGGACACGTGGTGGGGTGTGTTCTGGGACACAACCCAGATCAGCGATAAGCGAGGCCTGCCCCGAGAGATGCTGCTGCTATTACATCAGATGGAGGAGCTCTGCCATTTACTCGGGCGCGGCGTCTGTCTTCCAAGCTGTGTGCTTGGTTAGCTTGCTTGAGTCTCCAGCAAAGGTCACTCAGCGCCTCACTCATAACATGCAGGAAACGCAGGAGCGCTGTGGAGAATCGGCTCCCAGCACACTTTGCAATTATGTTCAAGGCAGTGTTCACATTTCACAGTACCGGGACTGTGTAAACGCTGTTCCCAGCTGAGTCAGTATTAAACTAGGACCATTTTCTCCTTTCCTGAGCATGTTCTTGTTATTGCTGGAGGTAGATGTCTTAAACTATCAATAATTCCATCCTTAATTCTAACATTTGTTTCAAATCCCATCAAGCCTGGCGGGCGTGGTGGTGCATGCCTATAATCCCAGCGTGGTGGTGCATGCCTATAATCCCAGCACTCAGGAGGCTGAGACAGGAGGATTGCTGCGAGTTTGAGGCCAGCCTGAACTGCATAGTCAGTAAAAAAAAAACAAAACCCCAAAACAAACACAAACCTTGTTAACTGTCCGTCTGCCCACTTCATCTGTGTGAAGAAGCCTTCTGGAGGCTGAGCCGCGCTGCCCTTGCACGCTCTGGGCCTGGTGTGCGTCTCATCTCCCAGGCTCACACTTTACTGGCACCTTTGGGGTTCGTTGGTTTGCCCTGATCTCATGGAGCACGATTTCCAGTCTATGACAGCAGTGGCAAACCTATGGCACATGTATTATTTGCTTTTTTTTTTGGTAACGGGGATTTAACTCGGGACCTTGCGCTTGCGAGGCAGGCAGGGGAACCACTGAGCTACATTCCCGGCCCTGTATTATTTGCTTTTAAGACAACAGATGTTGGTACTTGGTGATAAGTGGGTTTGGGAAGCAGTTTGGCTACTGGTCTCTAAAAGGTTTGCCATCACTGGTCTGTGAGAAAGGGCACGAGGGCATAAAGATTTGGGACTTTGTGGGTTCAAATGTCTTTATTCTTCCTTTCAGAAGTTTGACGATACTGCTATTTTATTTTCTCCCGCCTCTGGGACGGGTTCTCCCTGACCCTGCTGTGTGGCTCTGGTTGGCCTCAGCCTCCTGCATGCTGGGATTATGGGCGTGCTCCATCACGCTCCACTCTCTAGTTTTTATTTCCAGTTGTAACTGTTAGGTTTGAAGACATGTCAGATGCTTTAAAAACAAAGTATTTTCCTTTCTCTTTGGACCCTTGAAGGATGTCTGTATTCTGGTGTCGAGACTTCACTTACACCTTGGTGTGTAGAGGAAAGAGATTTGCTGCAACAGTGGTGTTATGTAACAAGGGAGCGCAAAGCTCACAGGGTTATAAGCATTTTTCCCTTGCTCATGAATTCCGGGGTAAACTGTGCCTGTCTGTGGTAGGCTCAGCTAGGTTGGGCAGTTAATCCACTGTCTGAGTTCAGTTCTCCATGGCTGTCTTCGTTCTCGGACCACCGTGCACATCTGATCTTCCACTGGTCACGAGACGTATGACCAGGTCCGTGAGCAATGGGACGGCCCTGCCACCAGTGAGAACACTGCACTATTACACAGCGAAGGGTACAGACTGGGTTGGGAGCAGTGACCAGGAGCTCTCTTCATGGCTGCTTTTTCATGTGGGCTCTCGCCCTTTCAATCTGCAAACCTTTGTCCTTCAGGCCGAACATGACTGACTTGTTTGATCAATCATCTGGTCATTCTGCCTGGAGAGCGTATTATTTGGACATTGGATCTAATGTTGTCCCTCAAATTTGTCTTTTCTCTCCTAGTTTCCATCTGTATCTTCAACTTTCAATCCTTCCATTTAGCTTTATTTCTGTTGCCGTAGTTTTTTTTTTTTTGTACCAGGGATCAAACTCGGGACCTTTTGCTTTCGAGACAGGCGGCAGCACCACTGAGCTAAATCCCCGGCCCTGCTGCCATAGTTTTTAAGAGCATTTCCTCCTACAATCTCTGCTAATATTAATGGTAACACTTTTGAAGCTTGTTGTGTATAGACTTTCCCAGTGCTTTGGTCTCTTTCTTTTTTCTTCTTCCCCTCCTTCCCCTTTCCCTTCCTTGCACTGGGGATTGAACCCAGGGCCTCATACATGCCAAGCAAATACTGTCAATGAGCAACACCCCTGGCCTTGTCTCTTTTGAAAGTTTTGTTAGGTGTCCAGTAATAGTTGACTGTCTCCTAATATTTAGGAAACAAAGTTGACTGGAGACCGAGTGAGGCTTAGAAATGATGAGCTCACTAACAGTCTTTCTGGAAAAGCCATTTAAAGTTAGGAACATCATGCCACATCTCTGGATATTTTAAATAGTCTCTGGGGTGGTAAACTTTATCATAGAACATTCTACCAAATTCCTACCCAGAAAATTAAATCATGATCAACATTCTGGGAACTGACTGGGGTTGTTAAATCTAAGCAGTAGCACTAAAACAAACTCAGTGAAATCATTAACCCATGAGTTCAATTATATAGCACCGATTACAGTGGTATAGCTTTCACTGTAACACTATTTTATTTATATTTTAAACAGAGTCTCACTATATAGTTGAACTTACTATGTAGCCCAGGTTGGCCTCAAACTTGCAGCGATCCTCCTGCCTCAGTCTCCTTGCTGGGATGACGGGATGCACCACCATGCCTGGCTTCACTCTAACGCTTTGAAACTTGTATCATCCTTGTTAACCACATTATAACAGAGTCTGGGATGGTAATGGAGAGTAAAACCACTGAAACCAATATGCAAAAGGAATAATATTTAATAGATTACTGCAGCAGAAAACTTACTTATGGTATGTTCAACTTTGAACTTTGGCTTTTTACAGATTAAGTATGCTGAAAGTCTTAATAAATTTAAAAAGAGACCTGTGAGCTGAATTTTAATGTATTTTTAAAAGAATGATGTTGACAGGTAATCTGTTTGTTAAATTATATTTACTAAGCAAAAGAAAATTACTTTTAAGGGTAAGTCTGTCTTTGATAATGTTGCAAATGATTATAAGATGTAAAACATCACATTTTCTATTAAAATTGAAAAAGCTATTAAAATTACTTACAGTATATTACATTTAACCTTTCCAGTACTACTTTAAAGAAATAGATATTAAAGAGGCAAGCACCAAAAGCAGCCAAGGCAGCAAAACGGTGTCGTTAGTAAAGCAAGCTAAAACCTTTGCCCTTTTGTTTAATCTTCATTCCCCAAGGAGTTACACTACCCAGTGAAGAACTCCTGCCTGCTGCATCCCCGAGCTTACAAATGTTACCTTAAATGATTATCCTGGAGACCAGTTTTTGCAGGCATCACATGCAAGTAGATTCAATTCAAATGGAATTATACATTGGTTGTTATTTTAATACCAAACCGAAGGGTGGACTAAAATCAACAGAGAAGCAAAAAAATCCAGCCTGTGGCTTACTTTGTATGTAGCAGTAGTGTCATTCTAGTTTTATTGATGCTTTACTTTTCATAAAGTGCACTTAACAAAATAAATATGTTCAAAAGAGCTTTAAAGAGTCATATACAGTGCAGAGATTAAGATAAATTACTGGCTGTATTCCTTATAACCTTTTAACTCCATGAAAGCTGTTACACTAAAGATTCATGGACCCAGGTAAGATAATGCTTTTTATCCCTCTTAGATCAATTTAGTATTGAGGAGTAGATAATTATGAGGCTTATTCTACAACACAGGGCTACACAGAAGGGACATTTATATGCTACAGACTAAATCCAGATATGGTCAGGTGCTGGGCATTATTTCTGGCTTCAAAATATGATGTGTCTGTTTCGTTATCTGGCTGGGGTATGAAAGGCATAGTCTGATGCTGCAGATTTTCCCAGTCCACATCACTGAAGAGAGGATGATGTCTCAGTTCTTAGGAAAAATATAAACAAAACAGCATATTATGACACCATTACCTAAGTAAGTACTGCTTTCAGGAGTTACAAGAGAATGCCTCACACCACACATCTCGCCCTGCCTTATTACGCCAGGCCCACAGACCGTCACTTAATGTCTCCCTCCCCACCAGGCTTCACACCTCACACATTGTGCCATTTCGCGAATCACTGGCATGAGACGTGCTGAGTTCGTATTTGTCAAATGAATGAATAAACGAGCGGCCATAACAGAAGTCTGTCTCTCCAGCTGCCTACATTTTCTCACACAGCCCTACTTCAGAGAACTTGGCTGGCTTCTTGCTCAGATACAACGTCCCTACTGCACATCTTACATAGTTAACGCTACAATTCTCATCCCAGCACCTCATCACCTGTTTACAGCACTACAGGCTTCAGCCCTACCCACTGTCCTAGATAATTTTAGCAGGAAGCTCTCCCTTCATGCTTCTGCTTTCTTCCCTAAGCTCCATATCCTTCATGGTGATGGCTACATATACACTGATCATGCTTTATTTATTATTCCCACATACATACTATACCTCGGCAATGTTTTTATCTATCTTCTCCCCCACCCCCACGCCAGGATTGAACTCAGGGGTGCTCTACCACTGAGTTGTATCCTTAGCACTTTAACTTATTTTCTATTTTTGAGGCAGGGTTTTGCTAAGCTGCCAAGGCTGGCCTTGAGCCTGTGATCCTCCTGGCCTGCTTGTGCCTGTAAGGTAACTGGGATTATAGGTATGCGGTCAGCTGATGATGCTTTATTTTTTATTGCACTTCTAAGTTTAATCCCCCGTATCACACACAAAAAAGAACACGATTTTCATAAAACAGATTTCCTATATTTGCTGTTGGTTAGTTTTATCAGGCTATGAAAAATCTTAAGACAATGACAATATAAGTTGATTTCAGGTCTCCTTGAGAGTAACAAAATTTAGTGTATGAATATTACAACTTGCCTGCAGTGAATTTTAATTGGGAATAAAGACAAGTATATTAATGTACACTTAAGAGGGCAGAAATAAGTGGAGTTATCTTTTTATCATTTAGCAGTGAGATTATCTGTAGCACTGTACCAGAAACTTGATATTGTTATTGCTATCACCACCTGGAACAAATCAAGGGTAAGAGTTTATTAACACAAAACTGTACCTTTCATCCCAGCTCTCTTTGTATCATCAATGGTTAGAAGTATCTCCACTGCACTTTGAGCATTATTGGATAACTTTTCTTCACCTTCAGGCCAAGGTATGTCTACAAATACAAATGCAAAAATGCATTTTTTAATCACTGTTCAACTACACAGAAATTCTGAATCTATTTTGTTAGGAGAAAAAGAATCACCTCTTTTCAGAATATTCTGGAATACGTGCTGTGGTGTCTCATCATTGAAAGGGGGAACTCCTGTTAGAAATTCAAACAAGCAAACTCCAAGTGCCCACCAGTCTACTGCAGGACCTGGATTTTAAGAGGAAATACGCTTTCGCAAGCATTTTCTACAAATACAAATGAAACAGCACATGGACAGCTGAGCATAATCAAGGCATGCATTGCCTCAAGCTTTTGGCTGTCTTCATAAATTATAGAAATGCTAATAACCTTAATTTACACAATGTGTTCATTTCTTTCCTATTTACTTTCCAAGTTTAGATTAGCAGTAACCATAGCTACAAATGAACGTTAAAACCATTTATTTCCAATTATTAATAACTTCTGGTATTCTGGATAATTTTATGTTCTAAACCCTAAAACACAATGAAGGAATGCATTTAACATAAAGAATATTTTCTAAAATAAACTACTTCTCTATTTGAAATGATTACATTTAGATATCATATTCTACTTGTTTACACAAGGTATGAGATGAGGTAGCAACATTTACTGTAATTGGAAAGTAGCTTGATTATGAGGAGATGCCCTAATTACAGACCATTCAAATGTGGCTTTTATACGAACACAGAGACAAATTAGTTAAAACAAAAAATACTCATTTAAACTGTGCCTTGAGGAGGTAATTAGGAAAGTTTTGATGAATAGATAAAACTGATTTCTAAATAACATCTTTATTGGAAGCAACAGCTATATGCAAAATTTTTTGTTTGTTTTAAGATGAAGTCTTAATGCCCAGGCTGGCCTTGAACTTCCCAGCTCAGCCTCTTTTGATCCTTATTTATTTATTTATTTTTTGGTACCGGGGATGAACTCAGGTCCTTGCGCTTGCAAGGCAGGCGGCAGAACCACTGAGCTAAACCCCCAGCCCCCAGCTCAGCCTCTTGAGTAGCTGGAACCACAGGCACATGCCTTACCCCCAGGTATAAAAGATCTTTTAATAATTTGTTTTGAACCCAGGGCTTTTCACTGAGCTACATCCCCACTCTTTTTTTTTGGTACAGGGATCCAACTCAGGACCTTGAGCTCAGAGGCAGGGGGTGGAACCACTGAGCTAAATCCCCCACCCTTTTCAATTGTGAGATAGGGTCAAACTTGTGATCCTCCTGCCTGGTCTCCCAGAGTGCTGGGATTATGGGCACACTCTACCACAGCCAGCTTTTTAGGGATTATCAGCTGGTTTACATTTTGGTTTAATTCTGTATCTCCTAAGCAAAGGTTAATTTTAGTTTAGCTTAGAACCACTGAATTTCAATATAAATTTAGATTAGGAATTCCAGTGTAGTGTTAAATTTGCCTACAAATTTTCTTTTAAAAACAATTTCACAAGATCCATAATAGCTATAAGCAGCTGCTACCATCACATTTGAAAAGAGTAGAAAAGCACTGTGGAGCCTGCCATTAGGCAAAATAATCACATGCATTTAGGGTGCCTTTCGCCCCCAAGCCACATAATCTGCTTTTCCCTCTAAGGACCATAGACGCTAAGCTAATTAGGGTCGGTAGGCTCCTATAGCAATCACTATAAAAACATACAGCTCACCTCAGTTAGTAGGTCTCTTAAGCAGCACTAAGAATTATTCCAAAGTAGCCAAATAACAGGAAAGTAGGAAGAATGCAGGAAAAAATACATTTTTGTTTTACTCAGGTTAGAAATTAGAACCCTTTTCCCAGCGTAGCCAAGATGTGCTCGTGTTAAAAACGTCCATGATTTCTCCACAGACATGTCACACTTTCCCATATACTTACGTCAAAGTCTAATAAGATCACAAGCTGTGGTAAGTCTCAGCAGTCACGATGCTGGCCAGAGAAGAACAAACTTGTTCTATACTACTAGCTTTCAAACTGAAAATCCATTCTTGAAACTGCTAGGGAAATACTGATATTATCATAACTTCTTTTTTTTCTTTTTTCCCCTTGGCAGTACTAGGGGTTGAACTTGGCCTTCACACTGAGGTACATCCCCAACTCATATCGTATGGTATTTAGAGTGACAGAATTATAGACATGTGCCACCATGCCCTGCTACCTATTTTCTAATCATAATGAAATTAAAAGGTTCAGAAAATTGTGACTGCTAATTTTAATATTTTTGTTGAGCATTCATGATACCTTTCAAATCTTAAAACATCCTACATGCCTACATGCCTTTTCAGAGAAGGCAAGCTCTGCAGTCTTGTTGCTCACAGTGGAGAAGACAGTCATTTCTGTAGTTCACAAATGAGCTGACAGAAACAAATTACACCATGTGATCTGGTTATACTTTGACCATTTGGTTTAATGCGCTTTGCCATTTGACTTCACAGAGTTTACTTACCCGAAGTGAGAAATCCTGCATATAAGAAAACAATAGTTAGGTATAATATATAAAATTGTGAATTCATTCCCTCTTCATTACTAGGTAGAGTACCAGATAGAAGGGATACAAAGATGATTAAAGGTCTTTCCCAAGGAGAAAACAGCCTACTCTGGGAGAGATAAAGCAGATTAATTTTAACAGTGTTAAAAGAGCTGAAACAAAAGTATGAACAAGAAGTTAAAAGAGTGGCAGAGGGGCAAGACCATGGAGGTCACTGCGAGGCCATTACTGAGGCTGCAGCATGTTGTTAAGTTACAGTAGCTAAATGTCCCACCAAAGTAGGGGGAAGATTCTACAAGATAAATCTTTAAGTTTGAAGCCTATTTTCATATTGTGTCCCAATGTTAAGAGGCTGGCAAGTCTTTCACCTACCCAAAGGGGCATTAACCTTATTGGCATTTACTTGGTTTGGCTAATAAAGGAAGGGGAATATTAAATTGTGTATTTCCAGTATCATCGAGATGATTAGCAACAAGTGCTTCCAAGAAATTCTGGACTACGATGTACAAGGCAGAGAACTCACTCTCTTCTTAAGAAGTTTCCTTAAGTGTCTGTAGTGGAGAAAAATATCACAACTAATTGCAACATAGACAATATTTTTTTGAGGGTATTGGGGACAGAAGAACTATTTTTTGGTTTTGTTTTTTTGGTGCCAGGGATCAAACACAGGGTCGTGCACATACTAAGCATGTGTGGTATCACTGAATTACATCCCATCCTCAGGGTGGCATACATTGCAAACAGCTTTTAATGCAGACAAAAGAACCAGTTGATCCAAGAAGCTTTACTGAAGCTGTGATACTTGACTGATGATGGAAGAAATTTGATTGAAAGATGAATAGAGAGCTTTTCTCAACTAAGGCAAAACACATGTGCAAAACGACATGGCTTGGGAATCAAATATATTTTATTTAGGAACAGAATGGCAGCTGGGTGTGGTGGCACATCTTTGTGACCCCAGCACTCTGGCAGGCTGAGCTGGAGGGCGGAAGGTCAAGCTCAGCCTGGGCCACTTAGGGAGACCCTGGCTCAAAATAAAAAATTAAAAATACTTAGCTTAGACGAAAAGGTTGGAGCTGAAAGAAACGTGCTGATTTTTGATTTAGGCGGTGGCACTTTTGATGTGTCAGTCCTCACTATTGAAGATGGAATCTTCGAGGTGAAATCTACAGCTGGAGACACCCACTTAGGTGGAGAAGACGTTGACAACCGAATGGTCAACCATTTTATTGCTGAGTTCACGCGCAAGCATAAGAAAGACATCAGTGAGAACAGGAGAGCTGCCACCGTCTCCGTACTGCCTGTGAACGAGCTAAGAGAACCCTCTCTTCCAGCACGCAAGCCAGTATTGAGATTGATTCCCTCTATGAAGGAATCGACCTCTACACCTCCATCACTCACGCTCGATTTGAAGAGGTGAATGCTGACCTGTTCCGTGGTGCTCTGGACCCTGTAGAGAAGGCTCTTCGAGATGCCACACTGGACAAGTCACAAATCCATGACAGTGTCCTGGTGGGTGGTTCTACCCGTATCCCTAAGATCCAGAAGCTTCTACAAGATTTCTTCAATGGAAAAGAATTGAATAAGAGCATCAACCCTGATGAGGCTGGTGCTTATGGTGCAGCCGTTCAGGCAGCCATTCTGTCTGGAGACAAGTCTGAAAATGTTCAAGATTTGGTGCTCTTGGATGTCACTCCTCTTTCCCTTGGTATTGAAACTGCTGGTGGAGTCATGACAGTCCTCATCAAACATAATACTACCATTGCTACCAAGCAGACACAGACCTTCGCTACCTACTCTGACAACCAGCCTGGTGTGCTTATTCAGGTATACGAAGGTGAGCGTGCCATGACTAAGGATAACAACCTGCTTGGCGAGTTTGAACTCACAGGCATACCTCCTGCACCCCGTGGTGTTGCTCAGACTGAGGTCACCTTTGATATTGATGCCAGTGGCACCCTCGATGTCTCTGCTGTTGACAAGAGTACAGGGAAAGAGAACAAGATTACCATCACTAATGACAAGGGCCGTTTGAGCAAGGAGGACATAGAGCGTATGGTCCAGGAAGCAGAGAAGTACAAAGCTGAAGATGAGAAGCAGAGGGATACGGTGTCCTCCAAGAATTCACTGGAGTCCTATGCTTTCAATATGAAAGCAACTGTTGAAGATGAGAAACTTCAGGGCAAGATCAATGATGAAGATAAACAGAAGATTCTTGATAAGTGTAATGAAATCATCAACTGGCTGGATAAGAATCAGACTGCAGAGAAGGAAGAATGTGAACATCAGCAGAAGGAGCTGGAGAAAGTCTGCAATCCCGTCATTACCAAGCTGTACCAGAGTGCAGGTGGCATGCTGGGAGGCATGCCTGGGGGCTTCCCTGGTTGGGGAGCTCCTCCTTCTGGTGGTGCTTCCTCAGGGCCTACCATTGAAGAGGTTGATTAACCCAACCATAAGTATAGATTTATTTAGCATTGTTCCACACAATAAAACTTTGAAGGACCTAAATTTGTAGCAAATTCTGTGGCAGTTGTTAAAGTTTAACTGCTACAGTAAAGTACTGGGCATTCTCGATACTTGAACATGAAACATGTGCACAGGGAAAAGATAATATTGCACTTTATAAGCACTGTATTATAAGTGGAAATGCAATGTCTTCAATAAAAGTATTTAAAATTGGCAATAAATAAATAAATAAATAAATAATTAAAAAGGGGTGGGGATGCAGATCAGTGTGAAGGGCCTGAGTTCAATCTTTAGTACCACGAAAAAGGAAGAAGAAAGGGGAACATGGGGCATATAACAATTTACATTTGTTGAAAACTGAGGCTAGCATGAGAACTCAGAGCCTCAAATGTCATGACTAATGATTAGGATTCTACTTAACAGCTCACAGGGAGCCAACAGAGTCTTCTGAGGATGGAAACAGAATAAATTATATTATGGTTCAGAAAAAAAATCTGGTGGCAACCATTATAGATAACAGAATGAAATTGAGAAGACCAGACAGAAGAAACCAGTAAATAATGAAAAGGAAAGACAAACTTCTTACAGAGACCAGTAGCAGTGGTGAAAACTATGGCAGGGATCTAATGAACTGGAATTAAATATCTGAATGCACGGGTGATACCTGGCACTATGAAGATGATGAAACAGACACGGGACAAAATAAAAGCAAGCTGGATACCCAGTCCAGTTTTTCCTTGCACCATTTGAAAGACTGGTAGACTGCGGAGCAGGCAGCTGAGCTGTGTGTCTGCTGCCCAGTTGGGATTAGAGATGGATCTGGGAGTCACCCCATGCGGGGGACAGCTGACGTGATGGGAGTGATGTGTGATTTACAGGGGAAGGGCATGGGGAAGATTCCTGAAGAACTTCTTTTGAGTTCTCTGTATTTAGGGTTACAGATCCACAAATTCAACTGAACATGGGTAGAAAATATTTCAAAAAACGTAGCTGGTGTTGAACATGTGCAGACTCTTCTTATCAATGTTCCCTAAAAGATATAACAACTACTTATACAGCATTACACTGTAGGAGATACTGTAAGTAACAGCGAGGTAAAGTGTGTGGGAGGATGTGTATGGACCACTGGCAAACACTGCGCCTTTTTATATGAGACTGAGACGTGACCATCGGGGATTTTGGCATTGGCGCGCCACTCCCACGGATAAAGAGGGAGGACTACATTTGGAAGAGATGAGGAAGTAACTACAGAACCGCAGGAGAGATAAGAGGAATGAGTCTGAGAGGAAACAGATTTGACAAGGACTCTGGTGACAGGAAATGCTTTAGTGAGAGAGTCCAGATAAAATCGTAAGGTCAGAACAAAAAGACTCAGGTGAAGAAAAGAGGCAACCTTGGAGCAGTTAGTCGGGGGTAAGGGGAAGACAGAAGCAGAAACTGGCTTTCACCTGGGGATAAAGAGTAGCAACGAAATAAAACCGGAAGGAGTGTGAGGGAGGAGTGGGGAGGATGAAACGCCAAGGAGCCCAAGGGAAAAGGAAAGTAACCGAGATGCGGGAGCAGGGGCCTGGGTTTGAGGCCAGCCAGGGCACCCTACTGAGGCTTGGTCTTAAAACAAAAAATACAAAAGTGCTGGGATGTAGCTCTGTTGCTGCTGGGTTCAATCCCCTGTACTGCAAAAACAGGAAATACAGAAGGAATTCATGTTATGGGTTGATCTGTGCCCCCGAAAAGGTTCGTGTAGGTCCTAACACTCAGTGCCTCAGTGTGACCTTATTTGGAAACAGGGTCACTGCAGCAGGAATTAATCAGGTTAAGTGGAGGTTATACTGCATTAGGACAGGCTCCTACCTTAGCACGACTTGTATCTTTATAAAAAGCCACACAATGATAGAGACACAGGAAAACCACAAGAAGAGGCAGAACTGAAATGACACATCTTCACGTCCAGAACGCCAGAGACACCCAGCAAAGCACCAGGGGAGGGGACACAGGAAGCGCACCTTGATTTTGCACGTTTAGCTCCGAGTCCCAGCACATTCACTGCATTGAGCCACTCAGCTGTGGTACTTTGCTAAAGCAGTAGTAGAGAACGGACATCGTTTACTCAAGAATATGGGCCAACTTTGAAGAGAAAGGAAGAGAAGACAGGTGAAGGCACTATTTTGAAGGATGATTCATTTGTCCTTTGGCTGTTCTGGTGGGTGAATTATGAACTGGAAAAGGGTTCTGCAGACTGAACAGAAGTTTAGGCCTAACATTGTAGTCATGAGCACTGTAGGCCAGATCTGAGGAAATGGTTAGAACAGAGATGATATAGAGGGCGGGCGGTGGATCACTGATCATTGGGACTGAACCAGAGAAAGCAAAACCATTGAAGGCAAAGGATAAATGGCTGCATGTCCTTCCATGTCTGGTCTTATACATGCAGAGAATGAGAAGGGCCGAGGATGCAGCTCAGTGGTTCCGCCGTCTGCCTCGCAAGTGCAAGTTCCCCAGTTCGATCCCCGGTACCAAAAACAAAAGAGAATAAGAGCTATTTCTTTTTTCTTTTCTGCCATATAAACGAGAAAAGAGTGTTTTGTGAGTCCATGTTCTTATACTTTAGATAATCTGAGTATCAAAGAAACTCAAAACAATTTTACCTTAAAAGAGAGTGTCCTGATGGACAGCAATTCAAAGTCCAAGGCGCGCATCCCTTACCGTGGGCTGTGCCCAGTAACAGCTCAGGCGCTAGGTAGTCTGGGGTCCCTAGAACCCGCCCGTCGTCCACTGGGGCTGCCCCTCTTCGCACGCTCTTTGGAGTTCGGTAGGAAGTTCCAGACTTGGTCTGATTTGGGGTCTGCTAATTCAAAAAGGGTTTAAGACACAGCAAATATTCTCACTCCTTATGAAACAAATGAAATAGCTAGATCATGGGCTGCTAGGCATGAAAGATAAACCGTACTGAAATCCTCGGTGAAGGGTTTGAAAATGGACTCAAAACTAGTTATAATCATCAGGAAGTCCTTATATGGAGAAGTTCAGCCGCTTAGATAACAATTACTTCACTAAGATCTGGATAGACCACAAATAATGAAAAAACACACAAAAACTTCTTGATAGCACGGCTTAATATGAAACATAGTCATTGAGAAAGGCTACAGCTGACAAATGATTAAATCACTAGGACATTATACAAGATACTACACATAATCTCTTGTACTAAGTGGGATCTAAAAGGTTTTAAAATAACTTATCTAACAACATTTTATCCCCTCAGACATTTTTAAAAAACCAGGCTCCCGAGTTTAAGGGACTTCTAAGCCCATAAATTCTGGTTAGAAAACTCAAAGTCTCACTGCTTCTCGGCCTTGTGGCTAAGATCAAGGGTAGAAAACCCAGGTCTCATAATCTAAGTTCAGAGTTCATACTTTTTATATTATGATATTTCTCCAAAAAAGAAAAGAAAATAAATTTCTGGTTTATGAACATTGAGAAAATAAAAACAAAGTAATATTTGAAATATAAATTTCAACTTTTTTCTATAAAGAAAAAAGATTATCTAAATATGTCCTTGGAGGGCCGGGGATTTAGCTCAGTGGCACCTCACCTACCTTGCAAGCGCAAGGTCTTGAGTTCTATCCCCGGTATAAAAAAAAAAATGTCCTTGGAAGACATTAAGGTAGGGCAGACTCCAATTTGGTATCTCATAGTACTGCTGGGAAAATACATGATTATGTTTTCTTAGAAAAGTACACAGAGATATACAAATGGAAGATGATGCTGTTATGAAGCAAAATATGTATGAAAACTTCCAACAATCCAGTGTCTCAAATAACAACAAAACTATAATTACTACTGTACAGTCTAGCTGAGGGGCGAACGTGTCAAGTCTGCCTCTGCTTCCCTAATGACTTGGGCTTGCACGCAGGACACCCCAGCCCTTTTTTGGTCTTGTGGTCACTAAGTTGCCTGGGATGAGCTTGAACCCACAATCCTCCTGCCTCAGCCTGCCAGAGTGCTGGCCTCACAGGCGTAAGCCATCACGGTGACCCGGCCAAGCATCTATCTTAAGTTTATTTTTCCATATCCAAAGAACAGTGTTAAAAGTTAGAACATACCTGATATGGCTGAGAGGATCTTCCTTTCTGAGTAGGGGTTACGGCTACGGGATATGAGCCACTATATGCACATGAAATATCCATTGCGTCTAAAGAAGTAATGCTCATTCTGGATGGTTCTGAGTTACTGGATGCATTGATATGACTATTAAAACTTCGAAAAGCTACAGCATTTCTTTTAGAGACAGTTAATGTTTTCCAGACCTCTGAAGGAGCCAACATTTTTGGGTTACTATCTTGGACAGCAGAGTTCTCATCATCTTTAGGCAGGGCATTCTGTTGGTAGCTTGGTGATACAGTAAGTTGAGCTTCAATATTTGATTCTTCAAAAGAGGATTCTTTGATGCTTTTATCTGGATCTAAGGACTGCCTTTCTAATGAACTTTCCATTACAGAAATTCCAGGAAAAGACGAATCTGAGTCCATACAAATACTTCTAGGACCACTATCATCATCACAACATAAAAAATTAGAACTCAAGCACTCCTTCTTGTTAGTCTTTTCCCAATCTTCATCCAGTTCACACAGAAGGTTTTTTGCTATCACTGGGACAGGGACATTTTCTGGTGTGTGTTTACCGGCAAAGCAATGGACACTGTTCTCCTGATTAGCACGGTGGTTCTGCTGACACCCAAATGCTGAGAAGTTGAGAGCCCGGACTTCAGCCGTTAAGCCTGTGCTGTGATTTGCGTGACAGTCCCGCATTCCTTTACTATCCTTATTCTCCACACAATTTTTTTTATTTTGTATAATTTCCTGACAGGGACTAGACTCAACCAACTCAAAATTTCTTTTTAAACTTCTTTTCCCAAGAGGCTCTTCTGGCATACTACTAGAATTCAGAGCCCGCTGCTTTGACTGCTGGCAACGGGGCTGTCCTGGGTCAGGGGCCAGGTTCACCTTATCTACCTCAAGTTCTCTTGCTTCCCAAGAAACTTCTCCAGAGGAGCATTTTTCAGCAAGGTTTACACAAGGTTCTCCAGTGGTAGGAATGGCACTGCTGTTATGAATTGGAGAAAGGGCCACCTCAAGATCCTTTTTATGGAAACTTTGGGTCTCAAGGTCATTTGCAGATTTTGTACATAGCTTTTCCATTGCATTCCAACTCAGCATTGTAGAGCCCGATGCCTCATCACTTTCCTGAGAGGAGAAAAAAATACTTCTTAGTTCATAGAAAGCTGAGATTCTTTGATCTTCTAACCTCTGTCCACCTGGATAAGATAAATAACTCCATAAATCGCTCTTTATTCACACTTTCAAACAACAAAACAACAATAAAAGGGAATTAAAAAACTATATAAACAATTATAGTACACACTTACACTTGAAACACTTCTAAAACTTAAACCAATTATCTACTAATATTTATCTTTATACATGGCATTAAACAGGACAAATTAACAAGCAATATATTTAGGCAGATTCAGGTTAAGTTGACATTATACACATTTGTTCTTCAACATGATATGAATCTATCTGTTTTATAATTGCAAACTGCAGAGGGCATGAAATCTAGTAAAAAATTATAGAGCAGGGGCGGGAGTGTAGCTCAGTGGCACAGAGCCTGCCTGGCATGCGTGAGGCCCTCAGTTCAATTCCTCGAACAAAAAAAATTACAGTGCAAAAATATAATAAACATGCATCACTTCATAATATAAAACCAAAAGTTGCAGGAATTAAAATTCATTGTCAACAAGATGAACTAATGATAACTTGAAACAAAATGCTTTTGTTTTTGGGGGGGTACCAGGGATCGAACTTGGGACCTTGTGCTTGCGAGGCAGGTGGCAGAACCACTGAGCTAAATCCCTGGCCCTTGACCAGGATTTTTGTAAAATTACTCAATTAAAGTGAGTCTTCAGTAACTAAAAGTACTTATTTTTGATGTGCAAACTTTAAAATCTTATTTAGTAGTAAGAAGGAACATGTACTTATGAGAAAAAACAAACAAAGAACAAAATGTCCTGAATTACATCTCACTGATTTGCAAGAATAGAAAATAATGAATTTGAGGATCAGGACAAGGTAATCTGAGGGCCCCTCATGGGACAGTCATTTTTCTGATCACAACTTGAGAAGCATTATAATCTAATCATTGCTTTCCTCAGAGCTGCAGAAATGGAAGGACAAGAATACAAAAGCAGTAAAATAATAGTATTGGCAATGGACATCTGTTTACTCTATAGCATGTAGTATCTACAGCACAACCTATAGAGAGAAGCAAAAAAAGCCTGAGACATTCTGCTTTATCTAAGTTAATTTGACCCTGTTCATAAACTACAAATATCCAAAAGAAATGAAGAAAATCAGATTATCAAGAATAAGCAGCAAACATAATCCAAATAAATTCATCAAATAGGATTATCCTAATTTAATATTATTTACTCAGCATTTTATGACAACTGTACTATATTTTACATTTTAGTTCCTATCATCTTTAGTATCGATTAGCTTCAAAACTTTTTAAAAGGCAAAAGCCGAATACATAAAGTAAAATAACTAGGTAAACCAATTTGTTAAGCAATCTCCTCAGAATAGACACTTAGAACACCTATAATATATCACGTTCTGATTTAAAAGCAATTCCAAAAACCTATTCCTGAAGAGTTACTAGTCTATTAGATGAGAAACTGATGGGAAACATCATAAAAGGAGGTAGGGATAAAAACCAAACTAATGTCTGTCCTGGCAGGGAATTAAAGTCAAATTTCACTATCAGTGTACTATAGTAACTTAGTTACTCATTATATATCAAGCAAGAATAACTCCACAACTGAATGGGAAATGAAATATCGCACAAGAATCTGACAGCATCTCTCGGGAAGAAAGCATTTGTGGTCATCCCTTGGCTGCTGCTCACGTCGCACTTTGATTTCCTTATGGGACTGGTAATAATGGGCAGGGTGCTGGTCATGAACCCAGATGCACACAGAGGTGGTTAGGTGGAAAGGAACCCTTCTGACCTGGCAGTCCCGCTCCCACTTGGGGCTGCTGTGGCAGTCCGACTCCACACTGGACACGAAGGTGTGGGACTGGCTGCTGGTGCTGGAAGTAGCCAGCCTCCTCCTGGACTGGAGCAGACCGGGCGTGAGACACCTCATGGGCACCCCCGGCTGGGGAGCAAGCGTTTCAAGGCCTGTGGGTAGAAGACAGTGAAGCTTAGGCCACATCTCTCATAGCCCTCACTGCACCTGGACACTTACCGGGGATTACCTGGTACGTCTCAGAACTATTTAGTCAAAAACACTGCCCTCCACGGGATGGCTGCAAGAATTTCTGCTATGATTCTCATATTTAGATTCACAAATGTTAAAAATACATATACTGCTCTAAGGTTTAGAGCGAAAAAAAAAAAAAATCCGCTTAACATTTCTAGAGTAAAAACCAGGACAAGAGAATTTATTTATGCAGTAATTATAAACTTTTTTATTTTTGGGGGATCGAACTCAGGACCTTGCACTTTTGAGCCAGGTGCAGCGCCACTGAGCTAAATCCCTGGCCCTATTTGTACAGTAATTAGAAGGAATCATTTTTGAGTTATTTCTGATCCAATATGAAACTATTCTTGATAAAGGAGAATTATTGATGTGCTGTATCCACATGTGCAATGAGGTTAGACTATGACTAAATTTACTCTGTTCAACTTGTATTGAATTAAAAATAGAGCGTTGTTGTGATGCTGCAATTTACGTGATCACAAGCATGGATTTTAGACATTCATAGTGACCTGCCTTCCCCACTTGCCTCCATTTTTTTCCTTTTGCAGTGCTGAGGATCAAACATGGAGCCTTTAGCATGCTGGGCAACCACTTACCACTGACACATTCTATTCCTTGTATAAGGGGTTTTCTTGATATAACTGGATAAAGCAAATATTATCATGCAGTGGCTAATACCAAGCACCATCTACGTGATACTTGCTTCTTTATCATATATGAAAATTGCTAAAAATGGTTCTTGTCAGCTCATCATTAGGCATAAGACAATTGCGCCTTTGCTTTCGGTGGTATTGGGAACCGAGCTGAGGGAGTGCTGAGCTACCTCCCTTGCCCCTTTTAATTTTTTAAATTCTCAGATAAAGTCTCCTAAGTTGCCCAACTGGACTTTGAAGTTGCCACCCTCTTGCTTCAGCTTCCCAAGAAGCTAAGCTAGAGGCATATGGCATCACTTTGCTGACAACTGTGCTACTGCTGAAGATATAGGAATAATACATGTGTGTCAAAATTTTATAAATATATGAAAAGATGCATATGTCTTGTTTTCTTTCCCCAAAAGAATGAACATGATCTCAGTCTTAAGGAAATTCTTTTTTTTTGAAAAGGAAACAAGATTTTAAATATTCATATAATCTTATCTATTTCTAAATGTCAGAGTTCTTTTTTTTTGGTACCAGGGATCGAACTCAGGACCTTGTGCTTGTGAGGCAGGCGGTAGCAACACTGAGCTAAATCTGCAGCTATGTCAGACTTCTTGGTCAGACTTGAAAACATTTTTTTTTTTTTTGGTAATGGAGATCGAACTTGGGACCTTGTGCTAGTGAGGCAGGCAGCGGGACCACTGAGCTAAATCCCCAGCCCAAGAAAATGTTTTTAACAAGTCCTTGACAATTTCCAGATTGGTAAACTTCCTATCTCTCTGGCAAAACTTGAGACCAGAGGGCCAATCTCAAGGAAATTCTTAGTCTTATAGATTTTTGACCTAGTAAGTCTTAGAATTCTAAAACAGAAACGAGTATTTCAAAGTCCATGTAATCCAACTTTTTTTTCACTACTCAGATCCTCTCGGTGGAATTCCTGAAATTCACTGAGTGAACTGCTTAGTAACATGGGAACTTATGTTTAACCAAGTGCCATCTGCATACTGCGTATTTGTTAATGAGTTATCCCTTAATCACTATTTGTAATTAGACCATTTCCTACTTTGGAACTTTTGATAGCGCCTAGTTTCCTACATATTTCTGTAATGACATCTGACTTTTCCCAATATACTTACCAGGCTTCCTTTCCTACTGCACATGCTTCTCATGCTCACACATCACACTTAGTCCCTACTGTCTGAAGGTGGACTATGTCCACGCTATTGGATACGCTCGTGTCTATGTCTGAAATAGACACAAGCTTACGCTTTTTGCTACACTGAAGCTAGGAAGTCCTTGCTTCTCTTCTGGGTCCAGTTTGGCTATCACAGAACCATTTCAGTTAGCATTTGTCCCTATTCCCTCTTGTCAGATTCATTTTAAAGAATTGTTAATGTTGTCTGTCCCAACCTCCTATATGCCTTGCTATTTGTCTTTTATTGCATGCAAAAATATATTCGAGTTTTTAAATTTAAGCTACCACAAAATCTTTTGGAAATACATCCATTGAGACCCATAATACTGCAGATACTGTATCTTGTTTATAATGTATAAGATTTCTACAAACCCAGTATAGGGAAATTAACCCAAAGATCACTGTAATTTTACAGACATTTTATTCTATTGATTTATGAATCTGCCACCACCCTGGTCAGACATGACATTTACATAATGAAACATAGGCATGCCCATAGGTGGTTGGAATATTTGTATTTTTAAAATATTAAGTTGATATTATGACATCTTAACATTTGAAAAATATTTTTTTTCCTTGAAGGAGACACTTAATGTAATAAAGTACTACTTTATACTCACAGGAATATAGTTTGCTAGAATAAGGCGTAGTCTCCTTTTGATCTATAGACATGGGACAAATTAATCCTTGAGAAAGCTGTGATGTTTCTGATAGATGGGCTGAAAGGATGTCTGTAGAATCTTGATTTTTTTCTGCAACTGGTGTGAACTATTAATCAGAGAAAATTAAAAAACAATGCTAAAAGATTTAACTTCCCAAAAATACCACCTAAGTGTGTATATATATATATATATATATATATATATATAGAGAGAGAGAGAGAGAGAGAGAGAGAGAGAGAGAGAGGCTGTTATACCACATAAGTTGACAAACCATCAAAGACATGTTACCTCATGCTTGTTTTTTTTTTTTTTTTGGTACCAGGGATCGAACTTGGGTCCTTAGCTTGCGAGGCAGGCGGCAGCACCACTGAGCTAAATCCCCGGCCACCTCATGCTTGTTATTTACATTTAGTTTTATTTTTTTAAAGGGGACTTTGAATTTTAAGGGGTAATTGTTTTTTGGTCTTTTTTTTGGTACCGGAGATCAAACTCGGGACCTTGCACTTTTGAGGCAGGCGCTGGAACCACTGAGCTAAATCCCCGGCCCTTGAGGGGTAATTGTGAAAAAATATATCATATGAGTTTTTCCTTATCAAGAACTTACAAATCTCAGAGAACTGATGAGTGATAATACTTGTCCTGGGGTTCTTGAATAATCTTGCTTAGGTTTGGCCATAGATGGTGTTGTAAGGATATCCATCATATTGATATCTGTGTATGCAAAGGAAAGTATGTGAATATTTAAAAGCTTTCAATTGTGTTTTCTGAACTTTGATCCTCTCTCTGAATTATTAACCTTACCTGTAAAACTCTTCTATGCTTCCTAGTAGCCAGCACTGTAATATCTAAGTTGATAATCTATCGTTTATCCACTTTTTTCTTTTTTTTCTTTTGGTAGTGGGGATCGAACTCAGGTCCTGGCGCTTGCGCACCAGGCGGTGAAACCACTAAGCTACATCCCTGGCCCTGTTTATCCACTTTTTAACGATGAACTTACATAACTTTGAAATTTTTCCTATTAAACATAATTCTGCTAAAAATGATTTTATTCATGTATGTTTTGCTCTCCTGAGCTGCTGGTTTTCAGTGCTGGGGACTGCATGTTAGGCAAGCACTCCATCACTGAGCTAACCCTCAGCCCCCTGAACTGCTTTCTTAAATTCGAAAACATGAGCTCAAAGAGAATGAAAACCTTCTGTTTTTAAAACACACTGGTGGGCTGGGGATTTAGCTCAGTGGCACTGTGCCTGCCTCGCAAGTGCAAGGTCCTGATTTCAATTTTCCAGTACGGAAAAAACCAAAAAAACAAAAAACCCCCCAAAACACACTGGCAAACTTTCTTTAGAAAACACTATGCAAATTTACAATGCCCCTAGACAAACCTACTTTGCTTTTTTAAAGTAGTTTTGTTAATTGGATCATTATTCCTTTTTTATAATGTTTACTTGTATAAAATGGTTCATTTTTTTTTTTTTTTTTTTTGGTACCGGGGATCGAACTCGGGACCTTACGCTTTCGAGGCAGGTGCCGGAACCACTGAGCTAAATCCCCAGCTCATTTTTTATATTAGCATTGTTTTAATTATTACTAGTGAAATAAACATATTTCCATATATACATATGAATTGTTATCTTTGCTCTTTTGTTATTAAGGTCTTAGTGGTAGACATTTATATTTGAATAAATTATTAGATATTGACCCTTCATCATATTATTATTTATTTTAGGAGGCAGGCATGTTGCCACTGAGCTAAATCCCCAGCCCCTTATTTTAGTAATTTTACTGTTGCTTTATTGATGAGAACCAGTTTCAGTAGAGAGAAAGGTCAGAAAAACAGAAATTATGAGTTTCCTTTTGAAGATCCAAGGATTTTTCAATGTCTCTGAAGATCCAATAGTCGCCATTCCCATTTTTGATTATCTGTCTGTCTATCTATCTATCTATCTATCTATCTATCCATCAAGTGCTAGGGATTGAACCCAAGACCACATGTATGCAAAACATGTACTCTTAACACTGAGCTATACCCCTAAACACTATTTTTTATCTTTAATGGAATAAGATATATGTAGTCTATTTTAGAATAATGATAACATTTCACTTAGTACAAACAGAACAAGTTAATGAAACATACTCTCTAAAATTTTTTTTATGTTGTTGTCTTTTGTAGTCTCTAAAATTTGCTGGAGCTTTACTGACATTTATTTATTTATTTTTGGTACTGGGGATCAAACTCAGGACGTTGCATTTGTCAGGCAGGTGTTGCATCACTGAGCTACACCTCTGGTCCTCTGAGCACTTTTTTTTTTTTTTGGTACTGAGAATTAAACTCAGGACCTTGTGCTTGCCAGGCAGCCGGGCTGGACCTTTAAAAAGGTACTTTGTATTTTTCTTACCTCTATTCAGAGTCACTTTGGAAAGGCCAAAATCTGTCAGTTTAATATGACCCTCATTAGAAATCAGCATATTGTCTGGTTTCAAATCCCTGCACATAAAACAAAAGGAAAATAGATATCTAAAGAAAAGGTTAGTTTTAATCTTAGAATGTCTAAGAAAAAAAAGAGTGTTTTATAGAAGAGGCAAATTCTATTTATTTCCTCTACAATAAAAGCATTTATTGGTGGCTTTGCAAAGAACTAAACAACTTTCAAAAGCAATTCTGTGGTACAGCTGAATCCAGAAAATGTTAAATGATTTAATAGATTTAATACTAGATTATCTGTGGCGTTAGATTTTCCATTAAAATAAACCGCATTGGTTAAAATCAATTGCAAGTCAATTCAAAATTGCATGTTTCTTTTAGAAGAAAGTAAGGTAAGATTTAGCAGGCAGAGTGACCTAATCTCTCTGTGCACACAGGCAAGGACTGCAGATCACTAGGCCTGCACAGGGCAGCACTCTGGACGATGGCAGAAGAGAGCAAAAGAGTTTAATAGCATGCACACCAAACACGGCGTCCACGTGGAAAGCAAAATAATGTAAGACACAAAACAGGAAACACAAAATAATGTAAAATGACAAAACAGGAGTTACAGGAACTTCTAGGCTCACACAAGTTAAACTTTAGATAATGTGGAAATATGGGCAAGTGGTGAAAGTAAATATCCGAGATCCAAACATTTAACACACAATTTGATTATGTGTACATTGAAGTAATAGTTTAGAGAAAAGTCAGCCTTTACCTGTGGATGATTCCGTGCCTATGAAGGTAATCGAGAGCCAGTGCTACTTCAGAAATATATTTCACAGCCATCTCTTCGTCAAAATAGCCATATATATGCAGAAGAGACTTGACATCTCCACCAATAAGGTACTCCATTACCTATTCAAAAATTTAATATCGCAAAGTAAAAACAATGTGCTTACTTCCAAGATATAGCATTGGGCATTACAGTTACATATTTTTAGTATAGTTCTGTAACAAAACACATTTTCTCTTCACTCATTATCCATTAATGCTTCACTCATGTTCCATATAATCTTTTTTCTTTTCAAACCTATGCTGGGAATTGAGCTCAGGGCCTCTGCACTAAGCTGTGTCTCCAACTCTTTTTATTTTTTGAGACAGGGCTCTTGCTAAGTCATTAAGTGACGGGGCCCTTAAGTGGGATCCTCCTGCCTCAGCCTCTCTCAGTGCTGGGATGACAGGTGTGTGCTACCACACGTGACTTCACGGAATTTTTAATTAAAACTTAAACTGGTTAGCTTGAACACAAATTTAGACTTGTAGAAATAGAAAAATTCTTAGACTATCAGAATGATTTTCCATATAGTCTTCATCTGGATTCACTCATTCTTAGCATTTTGCCATTTTGCTTTCTTTTTTCTCCATACATGAGGTATGATCACAAAATTTGGTATTTAAATAAAAAAAATCATTACAGTGAAAGACATATTGCCATTAATCCCCTCTCAAAGTATTGCCCTGCTTCTAATACCACTATCCCATGGTTCTTGCCACTTTCCGAACCTGTTCTGGAAGTCCAGTTTGTGAGGTTCTCTACTCATGATGTTGGGTTGCCTGTGTCCTGCATCAATTCAAAACAATTGCGGCAATTTCTGTCCAGCAGAAACATTACGATGTGGCCTCATCCATCTTATTCACTGGATCTGGCACCATGCAACTTCCCCACAGTCAAAATGACCGTAAAAAGTAAACATTTCGAAGAGATGCAGGACACTGAGGCAGCCTCAACAGCACAGCCTCTCATGAAGGAGGACTTGCAGAACTGCTTCAGAAAGTGGGGAGATGAGGGCATTCGTGTGTTTGAAGAGTGCACTTTGAGGGGTGAATGGCAATGTGTCTTCAATGTGACAAATTTTTTATTTTTATTTTTAAAATTCACTGTAATTTCATCATACCTCATATGTATACAAAATAAACTTTAAATTTATATATCAAATATGTGTATTAAAACTTATAAACCATAAAGTAATTAATATACTCAACATAAATATTTTATAAACATAAATTTTGCTTAGACTAGAACATTTAATTAAAAAGAAAAACAATACAGTCTTGGGTATACTTGGTGATAAAGTTATTTCCTTGCATGTGTAAGCCCTGTGTTGATCTTTAGCATCACATAAAATAACCCAATGTGGCAAACGGCAAACCTGGTATTAATGGCATAATTTAATTTTATGTTTTTGAGATGAGGTCTTCCTGTGTTACCCAAGATGATCTCAAATTGTTGGGTTCAAATGATCCTGAGCTTTCCAAGTAGCTAAGACTACAGGCATGCAGCACTATACCCAGCTAATGTGTACATTTAAAACTTTTGGTGAATAATTTGAGAATAAAGTTGAAAAGGCTATGACTTGTTACCATTTAATTCTTTATTGCATTCCTCCTAATAAAACATCTTTACACAACTACAGTGCTGTTAGATGATAGCATCATCTAATATGTAGTCTGTTTCAACCTCGTCTGACCATCGCTCTTCACCCCTTCATCAGAACTCTTACTTCAGAGCTCTTCATCAGAGCTGCTTACTTATTCCACTGATTTTAGGACCTAAGCATTGGAAAAAGTCTACCAGGATGAATAATTCCACCTACCCCTTTAACATCACCGCTGGACTAGGCTTGAGGGAACTCCCAGCTAGATCAGGATGGATGCTCTAGCTACAGGCTTTGGGGTAGGGGTCAGGGGAGCCCTCATACTTCATGTGCAACAGTAAACTCTAAAGGCATTCGAGGGCCTCAGGAAAAATGAAATGATTAAATGACTCTCTCCCTTCTTTGGAAACAACATTTAAAACTGTTCCCATTTTATTCTGTAAAGATCCACATAGTAAATATTTCAGGCTTTGTGGGATTACATTACCAATTACTCATTCTTGTCACTCTATCACAAGATAGATAAAATGTAAACGAAAGGATGTGGATAAGTTCTAATAAAACCTTACTCACTGAAATTCAAATTTCCTTATTTTCATGTATCACAAAATAATACTTTAATTTTTTTCCATCCTTTAAAAATTGCAAACACAAAAAACAATTCTTAGCTCATAAGAGCCAGATTTAGCCCTTAGGCCACAGTGTAGTTACCACTGGGTTAAGAAATAGAAAGGTTGGGCCGGGGATTTAGCTCAGTGATGTCGCCGCCTGCCTCGCAGGCACAAGGTCCCGAGTGTTCAATACCCGGTACCAAAAATAAAAAATAAAAAGGCAGTTATTCAGATTGTATTCGGTATTTCTTTTGTTACTGCCAACGTATAAACATTTTTTGACTCAGATGGTGAATCACCCAAAAAAGCAGATTTCCAGCTCATATTTTTTCAGACTCTAGGGTTTTCCTGTTTTCTTTAACCTTGCTTTCAAGGTGAATGCCAATTCCAATTCCTTTCTCACTCCAAAATCATTCTCCCTTGGTTCCTAAGTCTCACCTCCCATAGAGGAATCCAGCATGACCAAGCACAGCGATTCACACTAAAGGTTCTTTGCATTTTCTGTTCATTGTTTGAATAATAAAAAGGTTTTTAAAAAACCCTAAAACAAATCATCAATTGTATATTTATTAAAGAAATTACAAAATCCATGATCAAATCAATGAACTCTATATTGGCATTAAGAAGGATGGAGTTACCATTAAGTGGAAAAAATAGGGAGAATTAAATCCACTTACTATACCTGAAGATTTACTGAAAGATTAGAAACAAATTAAATCATCAGGTAGCAGACGTTTCTAGATCAGACATCATTTCTGTAACCCACCTGAAGTATTCTTTAGAAGAGATTAACATGTAAGTCAGTAGACTCTGATAAAGCCAATTATACTCCGTAATGTGTGTAGCCCTCAATAATCAGTTGAAGGTCTTTTTTTATTTCTTTCTTTTGGTAGTACTGGAGATTAAACCCACCACCCTTGCATTGAGCTACATCCTCAACCTTTTAAATATTTCAAGACAGGGACTCATTAAGCCACTAAATTGACCAGGCTGGGCTCAAACTTGTGACCCTCCTGCTGCAGCCTGACAGAGTGCTGGGATTGCAGGTGCATGCAACCACACATGGCAGTTGAAGGCCTTTCAGAGAAAAAAGGCTGAAGTCCCCAGAGGAGAAGGGAATTGTCTCTGGACTTAGGGTTAGGGTTAGGGTTAGGGTTAGGTGTTCTTAAACCAGTGGATTTAGCGTGCTGAATGAACGAAGAAGTAAAATGAGTTACTCACCAAGTAGACATTACTTGCTGACTGCAGTGAATAGTATAAATGGACAATGAAAGGACTTTTGCTTAGTGCCAGTGCGTCTCTCTCAGCTTGCAGCTGATGAGTCATATTTTTATTGATCATGTCTGCTTTTTTGACAACCTGTAACAGACATTATAACAACAGACACTTAGTGAAAGCATTCTCAGGTTTCAAAGTGGCCATCATAAAAACACTAGTCAAGAGACAACACAGAGGGGCCACCTGGCCTCACACTGCCATCGAGACACTGCCAGAAAAATAGCTAAGATGGTAACACACACACAGCATTATCTTGAAGACAGAAGTACTTGTAATATTAAGTGGCAAAAATATCACATCAATTTTGACAAGGAAAAATAAATAAGGGCTTCCTAACTGACCTGTATATTTGTAGGTAACTGTTCTGTGAATCTTATAACAAAGCTAGAAGACACCAACATTCCTAAGAAGCCTTTTGGATAAGCTGAACCTGGGCACAGTCTAATAGCAGCACTAGCAGCAACAATACAGATTTAAACTTCTGATTCTTCTTTTTTTTTGGTACCGGGGATTGAACTTAGGACCTTGCCCTTGCAAGGCAGATGCAGCGTCACTGAGCTACATCCCTGGCCCTTTAAACTTCTGATTCTTTAATGGATAGAAATAAAATCAAAATGCTGCAAGATGTATGCCTCACTCACGTTAGAATTATTAGAACTAGTGAAGCTTAGTCTCAATTGCTGTCTTACAGAAAATACTGATTAAACTTTCATTAAATCCTTAATGTAAATTACGTATATAATATAATGACATTCATCACTGGAAATTCCTTAATGTAAATTATAAAACAAAGCTATAATCTACATTAAAGTTGGAACTGAACTAATCTGAATAGTTACTAACATTAGAATCAATTCTCAATGCGATCACAAGAAAAAAAGGCACTGGCAGACCGGGAATGTAGCTCAGCAGCCACAGCGCCTGCCTGGCAAATGCGAGGCCGAGTTCAACTCCCGGCACCACACGAAAGCACAACTTTATTTTAGGCATTAATTAGTGTAATCAATCATTAATATTTGTATATGATGAATTCCAGCCATGCTTCCTTAAGAATAATGGGGGAAGTTGACAATGAAAGACTATCATGACTTCGCCAATCATTCCACGGGACTGGAAGCTCTGTGCAGGCTTGATTGCTTTGTTTGCCACTGTAGCCCAGATCCAAAATATTTAGTGAACAAATTAATTGGTGCTTTCTTGTCAGCAGTTGATAATGATTGATTACTACATAAAGGAAAAGTAAAAATCTTAGGAAGCATAAAGCAGGTAACTATTCTAATGGCAAGGTTTGAAGTTTTGAAGGGGAGCTGAGTTACATAAAAGATTAAAGAGAGAAGAATGGAAAAGCATTCAAGAGGAACCAGCATATACATAAGCTCAGAGGCAAGAAAATACACGGCACCAAGGGTCTAGTTTTGGCTGAACACAAGGTGTGTGGGAGATACAGTAGAAATCTAGAGCCAGAACTTGAAGCTTGACTACTTTTGTAAGGAGTCTGGACTTTAGCTTGAATGTCAGCCCACGGAATGGATGAAATGGAATGCTGGCTCCAGTTTGGGTCATTCCAATACACTAGGGATGGAAATGAAGATCTGATGAATCTCAAAAGCATCTTGCCAAGTGAAAACACTAACAACTGCATATTGTATCACTGGATTACTTGAAATTTCCAGAAGAGGCAAATCTGTAGAAAGCAGGTTAGTGGTTACCTGAGGCTGAAGTGTTAAAGGTGGAAGCACTGCAAATGAGCAGAAGAGGTCATTTTCTGGATAATGGAAATATTCTAAAATTGGATGGTGATGACAGTTACACAGCTCTTTAATTTACTAAAAGCCACTGAAATGTACAATGACAAACCCTGGGGGAAATGAAGGCCTATACTTGGGTACAGACTTGGGAATAGAAAGGAAGGGGTGAAAAGAATGACTATGAGAGGTAGAATTTGGAATAAGGAGATACGATATACAGATGAAGCAGAAAAAAGTTAAAATAATTCAAGTTTCTAGCTTGAAGGACAGGAAGGATGTTGGTGTTATTAAGTGGAGAGAGGGAATACAGAAGGTTCAGAGTTTAAAAGTCAGGTGTGGAGGGTTGTTTGGGCTGAGGCAAGTGTAATTTGGAGGTGTGTGCTCGTAGTCTCTTGTCAGTGTCCAACAGGAAGCTGAAACTGCAGGGCCTATCGCCTCCTTCCCTTTATGCCTTCATTCAGTGCTGAAATGTGAGTAATACGAACCCTTGACAGAGTGGACAGCTTCAAATACCTGTTGAACGCTTTTATACATACACTGCTGCAAGGATGGAAAGATCGGCATAGGACACGTTTCAGCTTGCTCTTTAAATAAAAGCACATTCTAGACATCACAATACAAAGTGTGAAGAGCATTGTTTTCATCTGCATCTCTCAGATGACCAGTGATGTTGAACATTTTTTCATGTTTATTTGCTGTTTCTACCTCACTCCAGAAAGAATGGCTGCTATCAAGAAATCAACCAATAACAAACACAGGTGGGGGTGTGGGGACAAAGAAACCCTTTTCCACTGCTGGTGGGAGTGCAGAGTGGTGCAACCACTGTGGAAATCAGTGTGGAGATACCTCAAAGAACTAGGGTCCCATTTGACCCCGCTATTCCCCTGCTGGGGATCTTCCCCAAAGAATTAAAAGAATCATACCACAGTGATATATGTGCACCTATGTTCATAGCAGCACAATTTGTAATAGCTAAAACTTGGAAACAGCCCAAATGCCCATCCACTGGAGACTGGATAAAGAAAATGTGGGTTTTTTATAAAATGGAGTACTACTCAGCCATAAAGAATGATAAACTCATAGCTAAGTGGATGCACATTGGGGCGGTACTCTTCAGTGAAATAAATAGGACACACATGTGTAAATATGGAATTGTTTCTCTGGTGTGAGAAACTGAAAGTGTAAATGAGGATCAAAATGTATAATAGATAATGTGAACTAGGAAGAAAAGGTCCAAAAGGGAAGGGGAAGGGGAAGTGGAAGGAATAGGAGAAAGGAAAAAACATGAGAAAAGGAAAAAACGGAAACAAAGTCTTTGAAAATAGGGAGGAGGGGGTGAAGGGAGGCAGGGGAAGGGGGAAAAATAAGAACCAAGATGCATCATGTACAGGTACAAGATCCCAATGAGGAACGTCATTGTACTGTATACCTAAAGTGCACCAATAAACGTAATGAATGAAAAAAGAGTAAGTGTAAAAAGAAAAAAAGGAGGTTTGTTTAATGAGATCTCTGGTTGTACAGCAGCTTAAATATTAACCTATTACAAATGGATAGAATTAAAATATAACCTGCAAGCGACTACTACCAATCTAACGAAAATCCCAAACTTAAACCTGGTAAAGACCAAATTAGTAAAGAAGGTGCAGAAGATACATGAAACGCATAAGCAATACTAACATTTAAACATTTTAGAATAGAGCTATCAGGAAATAATGCAGCTTCCTCCGAGTTAAATCACACTTGGAATCAGTGCACTGAACCGCATTTCAAAGCAGACGTAAAGGGAAAACACAACCACCAACTAGTTAATGCTCTTCGGTTCAGAAAGACGCCTGCAGTGTGGGTCAGAGATGAACCGAGCTCCTCTGCCCTCGGTTTCCGCCTTTGTTAGAGCAGCGCAGGGCTGGGCGGCCGGGCCCGGCACTTCCCCTGGGCGGGGCGGGGAGGCAGGGCCGGGGCAGGAGGGCTGGGGTCCGGGTCGGGGCCGGGACAGGGCTGGTCCCCGCACGTCCGCGTCCTACCTTCACCGCGTACAGCCTGCCGCCTTTTTGCCCCAGATACACCTTCCCGAAGGCTCCGCGGCTGATGGGCTTCACGATGGTGAATTCCTCGATGGAGGGCGGCCTCGGAACCGGGACCGCGTGCGCCCACGGCCCCGCCGCCGCGCCCCCTCCGCGCTCCCGCTCGCTCCCGGCCGACTCCATCGCCGACAGCGGGCGTCCGCAGAGCCCCGCACAGGCCGCCGGCTGCGATTCCCGCCAACCAGTTCAAAGCCCGGCCCCGCCCCGCCCCGCCCCGCCCCGCCCGCGCCGTGACGTCACCGCGGCGCCGGCGTGAGGGGCGGGGCTGGAGGCCATCGCGGGGGGAGGGGCTGTGACCCCGCCCTCGGCCGCGCCCGCGAGGCTCCGGGCGCCCGGGAACTGGAGCAGCCTGGGTCTGGCAAGCTCCTCACAGGGTGACTCGCCCGGCGAGAACTGGCGCGGGCCAACGGGAAAGGTTTGGGTCTACTGTGAGGAAAGGGCACTGAACTGTAGCAGACGCAAAAGGCGGCTCGAGGCGCGGTCGGGACAGGGTTTGTAAGGACGCGGGAGGCATCTGAGGAAGAGCAGTGGGGTGAGCGCCTCCCCCGGAGTAGGGCGCGGCACGCAGAGCCGGGCCGCCGGTCGCCGCTTCCAGCCGCGCCCCGACCCGGAAGTGCTGTTGCGTCTGCTTCCGGGGCAGGCTGTCGCGCCGCGGCCGCAGGAAGGCGGCCATTTTCCGTTCCTGCTGAGCTGAGGCCCCGGAGGGCGAGAAAGGAGCAGGAGAGGGCCGGGCTCGCGCCTCCCTGCCGGGCGGAGCGGAAGGGAAAGAAGGGAAGTCTCGGGCGGGCGGCCGCGGAGGCCCCAGGAGATGTTCTCCCTGCCGAGCACGGTCCAGCCCCAGGTGAGCCCCGCGTCGAGCTCGCGTCCCGCGGCCCTGCCCCCGGCTGCCCTCCAGCCGCTGTTCAGAATCGGTTTTTCCGAAGCGAGGCGAGAGGGCGCGGTCGAGCAACGCGAGTCCCGGGCCTGAAAGTGGGCGACGGTACAGCGCGAGAGCGGCCCGACGCTTAGTGGGCGGCGGCGGCCGGAAAACCGCGGGAGACGGCCGACCGCTCCGGGCCCCCGGCTGGGTGGGCGCTGCAGTAGCTTGAGTGACCGCCGTCCCTGGGCCAGAAGTAGTAAAGGTTGGGGACGTCTTCATTTGGAGTTCGGATTCAGCCTCCTCGCCATCTTTTTGTAAAGCAAAACGGTAGAGAAGAAAGGAGTACGCGAGATTCCTCTTAACCCTCTCCGGAACTGTTCGCTGTGATAGTGTTTTGTTCCTCATTCGTTTCAGGAATCTCATTTTTGGATGGTACCGTTTTAATAGATGTCATTTTTCTTTCTTGAAAGTGCTCACAGATAGCAGACAAGTATTTTTTGAGAACCTTTAAATTGATTCCCTTAGCGTCTTGGTTTAAGAGTATGATTGTGCGTCTTTGTTTAATTCCTTTCTTGGTGCTAGTACAGTAATGGCTGGATAATAGAAAATGAAGCAGTTGTTCATTGGGTAGCGGTGAACAAAGCAAATGGAAAATCTTTTATCAGTGATATGAAGTAAAGAGGATTAAGAGTCACGTGAACAGTGAACAGTAATTTCAGGCGTAGAGCCAAGTGTCAGAAGAGTTTAGTAGATTGGAGGAACAAAAATCAGACCAGTACCGGTGGAGCACTAGTGATTAAGGGGAGCAGTGTCAGGCGTGAGATTTGCAGGAAGCCTTGCAGGAGTTTGCTTTTCATTTTAAGCCCGGTGGATACCATTGAAGGATGTAAAACATGGTAAGATTTTCATTTTTAATAGATCACTCTGACTGCTGCCTGTGTGAAGACTATGAGGGCAAGAGTGAAAGTCTTAATTAAGGGTGATATTGCAGAAATCCCAAGAAAGGGATGTTGCTCCCATTGAAGTGATGGCAGTGATTCTGGAAAGAAAGAAAATTTCATGAGCGATAGCAGAGAGGCTTCTGGTTTCATCAGCTGGATACAGGAAGGTGCTGTGCCCCGAGATGACAGTGTCTGGAGGAGTCCTAGCAGACGTTTGAGAAAGAAGTGTGAATGGTCTATTAATTCACATCAAGGATGCCTGATTTTCTCCTTCAGCTGCATGACGCCTTAGTGCTATGTGACATACGTAGAGATGGTGAAGTGAGTTTGTGTATTCCTGGCAGTCTTACCTGGGCTTTACCCAAGGATATATATTTTAGAATAAATTTTATCCTTTTTCTCCTCTATACTGATATAGGTGTGCATAATTTTAAATAGCTTATCTGATAGGCTCCTTTGTTCATGTAATAAAATATAATGGGACATAAAGAAGGCCTCTGTGATGAGAAGTCTTCTAACTCTGGAATTCCCCCCTCCGTCCCCCAGTACTGGGGATCGAACTCAGGACCTTGCAGTTGTGAGGCTGGCGTGGCACCACTTGAGCTAACCCCAGCTCACCTGTGGAATTTTTAGTTACATTCCCTGGGTTAGAGTTCTTGGTCCCTTACTAGCTGTGTGACCCTGGATATGACACTAAATTTACCTGAATTCTTGCTGTCTCCCTCTGTTAAATGGGAAGTATCTTAGTCTGCCTCAGTAACAGAATACCTCAGCCTAAGTTATTTATGTAATGCACAAATTTATTGCCTCACAGTTCTGGAGGCTGGGAAGTCTGTTATCAGGGTGCCAGTATTTGACAAAATGGTAGAAGAGTTTAAGACCAAGAAAGGAGAACTCTTCGGTGATACTCTTCTTAAAGGTCCACCTAATAAAGGGGACAGTCAAATCACAGCGAAAGTATAGTAGTGACTAATTTTTATGGCTATTATGAAGATTAAATGAGACAAAACATTATAAGAGATGGTTTTTAGTAAAAGCCCATTTTATTCAGTTTCTCAAATATTTGTGTAGCATAACAAATATTGTTTATTGTTAAATATCGCACTGTTTTGCTGGGATACAATATTGGATAAAATTGGAAAAATAATAAAATGTAGAAAAATCCTTTTGCAGCGTGGAATTTACTTTCTAGTTGGAGAGTGTGTAAAATAAAACATTTGTGTAGTCTTTGTGGTCTTCCTGGCACAGAGCTACTTGTAATTCTTGATCCCTTGTTGATCACATCTGTCTTTAGGCTAATGAGATGACCTGAATCTTTAAATGGCCTCGGGGCGGGACTAGGGACTGAAAAGACCTAGTGATTAGAGAGAGTACTTCCATTCTCATACTTCTAGAGAGAGAAGGCAAGGCTGGAGTATCAGCGGTATCAGAAACTCCTTTCTGTTTGTGTTTGCTTCGAGACAGGTCACCTGTGAGGTCCAGGCTGGCCTCTGCCTCCTAGTGCTGGGATTACAGATGAGCACCACCATGCCCAGCTAGCTTCTTTAGAAACTCTACATGGGGACAGCCTGCATTCACCTGCATAAGGGTGTCTTGCCTTCACTTCATGGTGGATGTGGGCACCGTGCACGAAGGGGCCTTTTAAACTTTGCCCAATGAACCTCTGCATTAGTTCTTCCTTTCTGTTTTTTATTGTACACTGGTAACATAAAGTGTTTTCAAGTTCTGAGAGCCATTCTAGCAAGTAGACGTGAGAGGGTTTTATAACTGGCTGGTCAGAAACATGATTGACCTGGGACTTGTCACTGACATCTGAACTGGGGGCTGAGTGGTGGGACTAAGTCTCCACCTGTGGAGTCGTGCTAACTGCAGGCAGGTACTGAATGTCAGATAACTAATAATGTCAGAGAGAGAGAGAGATAATATCAGTCTACAGATACTTGAGTAAAGTGTTTCAGTAAAGTATTACTGAAAAGTGCCGAGAAGATAAATAGAGCAGAGAACTTGGATAGGTTACTTTTGAGAAGATTGTTGAAATATTAGGGTAGGTAGGGGAAGAACTCATGAAAAAAAGACTTTTGAGCAAACAACTGAAGGGAATGTGAGAGGGAGTTATGCTCTATCTGGACAAGAGGGAACAAGTGGCAGTGAAAGGCCTTCGAGAGCCTGTCCGATGTTCCAGGAAGGGCAGGAAGGCCAAGGCGGGTAAGGCCAGAGCACAGAGGTGAAGTGGGCAGAGTGGGAGGAGGGACAACCAAAGCACGGACGGACGGACGGCTTTGGTTCTATAGGTCACAGTTAGGACTTTGGCTCTTCCTAAAAGCAGAAGAGAAGCCATTGGGGGGTTTTGAGCAGAGGAGTGATGTGAGCAGGTTGGTTAAAATCTGATCTCTTTAATCCTCTACTAGGAATATACATAGCCACCTAAGGGCAGGAGCAGGGATTTAGAAACTATTGCAAAATTCACACAAAGTTGGTGGCAATTTAGAACAAGATGGTGACAGGGAAGGAAAAGTGCAAAATTCAGAGTTTATGTATGTTTCACTTTTAATTTTTAGTGGTGATGAAGTATTTCACTCTGTGATAGTCATATATTTTGCCATTCTCCTAATGATGGAGTTCCCCAGCTATTTAAAAGTATTAATAAAAAATTACCTCTAGGAGCCAGATTAATAAAAACTGTACTTCTGTAGTCCCAGCACCTGGGAGGCAGAGGCAGGAGGAGCTCAAGTTTGAGGCTAGCCTGGGCTACATGACGAGTTCAAGGTTCAAGGACTACATGTATATGATAATTCTTTTGATTCATAGATCCAAAATAAATGCAAAAGCAGTAAATGAGTGCTTGATGTTTTTAACGTGTGCGTGTGTGTGTGTGTGTGTGTGTGTGTGTGTGGTACTGGGGGTCAGACACAGGGCCTGGAGCATGCAAGGCAAGTGCTCTACTGCTGTGGTATGGTATGCTTCTGGCTCAAAATATAGTTTCACTATTCAGGTTTTTTTTGTTTTTTTTTTTTGATTCTGGGGATCGAACTCGGGTCCTTGCGCTTGTGCAGCAGGTGGCAAAACCACTGAGCTAAATCCCCTGTCCTACTCAGTATATTTTTAACTTTTTTTTTTTTTTTGCTGGGACACTTCATTTTTAAACCACTCATTAAAGAAATTCTTTACAATTACAGTAAAATGTTTTGGTATCATTCAAATACTGTCACTAAAAACTGGTTTTTATCAAGGTTAGAATATAATCCTAGAGAAATTTGCTTTAGGAATTTTGAAAGGCTTTCCCTCCCTAGCCTGACTGCCTTTTCACTATGCACCATCAAAAGATACAATTTAAGGACCGGGGATTTAACTCAGTGGTTTCACCCCCTGCTGCGCAAGCACAAGGACCCGAGTTCGATCCCCGGTACCAAAAAAAGAAAAGCTACAATTTAAGATGATTCATAAATAGTGAAAATAAAACATATCTTACTTCATTTTGTTAGGTGTTCCTAATGCAGTTCAGGTCTCAATAAATACCTCTTAATTGAAAGCAATTTTTGGTTTCTTCATTCCACGTCTGTCATTTCTATTCCATCACTTTCTTTAACATATACCACTGAACCCAGAGCTTTTTCTGAAAGAGAGCCTGTGCCAGTCTCTTCAGTTTTTGTAAAGTTCTCTTGGTTTGTGTCTTCTAATCTTATTTTCTTGGTATTTTGCAATAACTGAGTGACTGGTTCCAAACTGCTTTTCTCAGTCTCTTGCATTAAGTGATGGTCCACTTTTGAATTCATTCACATGGCAGATACCTGAGTAGCAGATTTACTATGTGAAAATCCCATTGGGTAGTTTGAAGATACTTTTTAAAGTAGTAGAATCATTTCTCCAATTTGATTACAGAAAAAACAGGAATTGCTAAGTCTCCTCAAACGTGAGCTTGCTTTTGAAATGCAAAGGTTTACACCACATCAAGATCATCAGAGGGCAGCTGTACAAACCTACCTAATGTCATCCGGACTGGCAGCTCACTCCCAGGAGTCTGGAGCTGGAGGACCCGACCGGGGAGGGCCCCCCCCCCCCAAACGAGCTCTTGGGTGTAGAAAGAGCTGTGGCCAAGAGCAACCGTTCTAATAAAAGTGGGTCCAGAATGATGTCGGATCCCTAGGAAAAAGTGCAGAGCCACCACTGGAAGCAGCAGGAGTCGGGCGGTGGGAGCCTCTTTTTAACTTTTAACATATCCTAAATTCTGACAAGAAAAAGGAGATTAAAAAAAAATACTTAATTTGAACTTTTCTCTTTTTCTAGGTTACAGTTCCTCTCAGTCATCTTATCAGTGCCTTCCATTCACCAAAACCTGTATCTGTTCCCGTCAATACATCAGTTTCTCAAAACAAGCATCGAGATGTAGTTCCTGAGCATGAGGCTCCCAGCAGTGAGGTAAGTTTTTACCCTGGTTGTGTGAGGAAGTCTTTTTGATATAGTAAATGCTTGGAATGTTTGTGAAATATCACCTGACCATAATTAACTGTTACTCATGAGTGACTCACTACAATTACCTTCCCCGTCTCAAGGAAGACAGTATAGTAAGACATCGTTTTCTGACTTTCAGAAGCTTTGAGTATACTTAAAAGTGTAGGTATTTGAAAGTAAAATGTACAAGCTAGAAAACTATGCTTTCAGCATTCATATAATTATAAATCCAGTAATTCCTAGGATATAGGGAATTATGAACCTAAGAACCTTCATATTTCCAAATCAGGTAGTTACTTACGAGCTCAGAGTATGTTTTCAAGAAAAGATGTTATGATAGTTAAGTTTCCGGAAAGCCTCTTTAACTTTCTGCTTTTAGTTCTGATATCAGGAGTTCTGGCAAGGAACAGTGGAGGAAGAGTAGAAAGAGAGTTTTAGGGACTTTGTAGGGCCAGTCTTAGAATAATATTGTGATTAGATGAAAAGCTTGTCATCTTTACACTGTCTCTTTTTCCTATGTATTTTATCAAATGAAATTGCTGAGTTGGTGGTAGAGGACATTTTTGGTGCTTGGAAAGTAGCTAGCAGCCAGAGTTCATTTGAAGGCTCGTGGTGTGAAGTACGGAATTGATGTCCCTAGGGCCTTGTTAGTCTTTTTTTTTTTTTTTTTTTGGTACCGGGGATCAAACTCGGAACCTTGCGCTTGCGAGGCAGGTGGCAGCACCACTGAGCTAAATCGCCAGCCCTAGTTAGTCTTTGTATTTGTCTTGGCAAGTACTGGATTGCATCAGAACCTTTTCCCATTGCTGAGCACCCTGCTCTGCTCGGTCACTGCTCACTTTCTTTACTATGTGGTGACGTCTTTGCTTTCATCAAATGTTGCTCATCCAAACATCGGCTCCAGAATAGTAGCAGCAACACATAACAAAGTAAAACTTCCTGGCCAGCAGTGGTGGTGCCACACTAGTGATCCCAGCACACTGAGAGGCTGAGGCAGGAGAGTCATGAGTTCAAGCCCAGCTGGGCTATTTAGAGATTTGGTGAGGCCCTGTCTCAAAAAATTAAAAAGGGGCTGGGATCACTGGTTGATAGACTGGCACTAGATGAGAGTCCCATATATGATAAGGGAAAAACACAAAACACTTAATATCATTTTGTGAATCATAGTGCTTAGTTCAGTGGTGATTTTGGCTTGAATGAAAAGATACATTTTCCCTCATTCATGCTGAAATGTTATTTCCTTATTTAAGGATACCATTAGGGATATAAATTTTCAGCATTTGTCAAACTTCACATGACTGACCTCAGTAAAATTAGAATTTAAGAATATTTTCATCAATTTTAAATAGAAATCAATATATTTCTTAGATTTGAAAAAATTGTTTCTGGTGGTAAATAGTCTTTAAGTGTGTCATTAATGTTACTATTTGGTTGACTTAATCTTTTACAGCCTACACTTAATTTAAGGGACCTTGGACTGTCTGAATTAAAAATTGGACAGATTGATCAACTGGTAGAAAATCTACTTCCCGGATTTTGCAAAGGCAGAAGTGTTTCTCCCCACTGGCACACGTCTCATGTCTCTGCACAGTCCTTCTTTGAAAATAAATATGGTATGTTCATATATTTGGTTCCAGTGAAAATTAGCCAACGAAGTAGTATAAAAAGTAGTTAGATCTCATTTATTAGCATATACTACGGACCAGGTTCTTCAGGTTTTCTTTTTCTTTCTGTTAAGTTTTCACATTGAAATAATGTCAGATTTTCAGAAAAATTTGAAAGATAGTATAGAGGATTTTCACATACTCTGCACCTGGATTCCCTTAATTTTGACATCTTCCAGAACCATGGTACACTTGTTAAAACTGAGAAATTCACATTGAGATTTGTGGAACTGGGACTTGAACTCAGGACCTTTGCACCGAGCTATAGCCGCAGCTTTTTTTATTTCTTGACACAGGGTCTTTGAGTTGCCCAGACTGGCCTCTAACTTGGGATCCTTCTGCCTCAGCCTCCCAACAGTGCTGGCTTGGAACAGTGTTTTTAATTAAGTACAGACTGTTTTGATTTCAGCAAAATTTGCTATAACTAAATAACTTCTTTTTTTCCCCCCAGTAAGTTTATTGGTACATTTTTGGTATAAAATACAGTTACATTCATCATTGGGATCTTGTACCATTACATGAGTCTCTTGGTTCTTTAAATAACTTTTTTTGACATTACTGTCGTTTTTCCTGTTCCTAGATCTAACCCAGTATACCGAATCACATTTAGAAGAATGTGTTTTTTGTTGTCTTTATTTTAACTTTAGGTGACACATTTATTAGATTCTGGGTAACATACTAATCTTTGAGAAAACACTGATGAAGAAATAGTCACAGTTTGTTGTTTTATGAGATATGTACATTTTTATTTGAAGCTTGTCACAACCTGATGTTATAATAAGTAGGTTTATACTGCGATCTGTTGAAAGGAATGTCATTGTAGCTTCCAGAATTTCTTTTTGGCTAGCACATAAGGAATATTAGGGCTTTATCAAAGTGTCTGTGTCATATTAATGGAAGAGCAGGTTTTTTTTTTTGGTACTGGGGTTCGAACTTGGGTCCTTGCGCTTGCGCAGCAGGCGGTGAAACCACTGAGCTAAATCCCCGGCCCTGAAAGAGCAGACTTTTAAAGTCAGTACATGCCAAAAAAGTCCAGTAATAAAAGAACAAGTTTGAATAGTTGACAGTGGTTTGATTTGAAGCAATACCTTGCATTGACTTAATTCATTTACTAAACCTTTACTTTTCTTTCGTCTCTGTATTTAATATGAAGATATAAAGAATACAAGAGTGAGGGGAAAAAACTGTTTTGAGCTTGGGGACTTAGACTAACAATCCTCTTCTGTTGTCTATACAAAACTCTTAAAGTGCTTGACCTATATTGAGTGTTCAATAGGATAAACTTTTTACTGTCATATTATTATTGTTGTTATTATTGCTCTTCTAATCTGTATATGTAATTCTGACTGGGACACATCATTGACAACTACTACTTCTTTCTTTTTTTTTTTTTTTGGTACTGGGGATCAAACTCAGGACCTTGCGCCTGCCCCAGAACCACTGAGCTAAATCCCCAGCCCACTACTACTTATTTCTATTGTTGCCGCCATCAACCATGTCCCTAGCATCTTAGTTGTCAGATAAGATTGACACATTACTTAAGAGTAGGAGTTGGAAAGGATTGCTGTATTCATGGCTTACAGCTTTGTGAGGAACTTTCTTCATACTCACTATTATGGAAACTTTGAAAAGGAAAAATAGCAGTGCTGTGGTTTGTGTTTTTTGCCTCATCAAAGCTTCTGAAATTGTCTCTGAGAAATAGCAGTTCCTTATCTCTTTAAACTCTAAAGGTAATTTTAGCTTAAACATACATACCTTATACCTCTGTTGCTATTGAATTTAGTTCTGGCAGGTATATACCAATGTAAAAGTAACCTAACTGTTAATGACATAGTATGTTCATGACCATAGTATGAAGAGCTCTGCAATTTAAAGTAATTAAATTAATAATGCTTTAGATATTTTATGAAAGCAAAGTCGTATCATAGACAGAAGGTGTGAAACTTGTTATATTGTGGTTTTTCTAATACTTTATAAAAATTCTTAATACTTCATGTGATTTTTGTGTTTTTGGTTTGGAAATCAGGAACTTAACTTTTTGCAATTTCGCTCTAGGTCACTTAGATATGTTTAGTACTTTACGTTCCTCTTGCTTGTTTCGACAACACCCAAGAACTCTTCAGAGCATTTGTTCAGATCTACAGGCCTGGCCAGGTATGAAGCAACAACTGTATTTGTTTTGAAAAATATAATAGATTACTTAAAATTTTAAGATTTGTTTTAATGATGCTAGTGATTATGAATATCTGTTTATAATGGACAGTAGGACCTAAGAGTATTTGGAATTTATCAGTTAAATCGTTCTGTATTATTTTAGGTCTGGAAAATATATACTAGGTGCTATAAACTTTTTGTGTGAGTGACAAATACCACAGTAAATCAAGCTCCAGGGAACTTACCTACACCTACTTCAAAATAATTGATTAGGTGCATTTGTTTACTAGCCCTTATATCAGAAGTCCATTGAAATGAAAGAAAAAACAGTACTAAAATGAGAAAAAAGGGGAACACCAGAAGAGTTTTAGTAAGTTAAAGTAGGTGATAGCAAATTGATAGTGAAATCAGATTTTCATTCATTATTTGTTAGTTGATTACCAGGCACTAGTAGTAGTTGTTAAGTGATCACAACAAGTGATAGTTGTGAATGAAATAGACGTGTTCCATATCTTCATGGAATTTAGAGTAGTATGTTGTGAAAGATGTGAGTACTTCTCTTTCCAGTAGAACTCGGGAAAAACCCCAAGCTCAGAGTCAGTAAAAGTGGGCTTTGGGAAGGTTGATACAATAAACAATTGAAAGATTGACAAAAATAGGAATATGAAGAATCTCTGTGCCTTTTTTTTTTCCCCCTCGGTACCAAGGATCAAACTCAGGACCTCGGGCTTGCGAGCCACTGAGCTAAATCCCTGGCCCTTCTCCATGTTTATGTTTAAGCAAGAATAGAAAGAATAGAGTGATCAGTACTCCCAGCAGATGAGTTTCTTTACCACTGCTGTGGTGGTAAATGTATTTAGACCACAAATCACAGACTCATGAATGAGCATGATACTATGGGTGTATGTGTGATTCATTCACACCTAAAGGAACCTGTTGGTGTCTTTGGCATCAGTACTCAAACCAGGAGTTTCTAGAGACAGCCTCCTCATGTACATACACATTCACTCCTCATTCCAATCTGCTTTTTTGCTAATTGTGGTCTAAAAGTTAAGTCACATGGCCCATTTTTGAGATGGAGTTTTGCTAAGTAGCTCAGGCTGTCTTCAGATTTCAGTCCTTCTGCCCTAGTCTCCTGAATAACTGGGATTATGGGCATGTGCCACTGTAACCACTTTGTTGAATAATAAAAAAGTGTTGAGATAATTAGCTGTAAGTTAGCAAAACTGACCCAAGAAGAGGAAGAGGTAGGATAATAACTATAGATTGAAGGATAGTATATATAAAAAATTCCTTACTCCAAAGTTCAGATGATATTGAAATTAACATTCTTTATATAGAATGATTAGTTTCCTGTTATTTAAGAAGACTTTCTTTTTTAATAAGCCAGGTGTGGTACGCATTTATGAGACTAGCTACTTGGGAGTCTGAAGAAGAAGAATTGAATATTTGAGGCCTGGCTGGGCTATATAGTGAGACACCCTGCTGGTCAAGCACTCTACCTGTAAGCTACAGTTCCAACCCTAAAATTATTAAAAAGATAAGTCGGGCATGATGGCATGTACCTTTGGTGCAGGCTACTATGCAGGCTGAGATGGGGTGATCCCTTCAGCCACGAGTGCAAGATGACTGGGCAGCATAGCGAGACCTAGTGTTTACCCCGCCCCACAGAAGTAAAGATGACAACTAGGCTTTCCTGTTCATTCTGTAAGGTTGCCATCTAAAACTGGTCATTATTAGAAAAAAAAATGCAATATGTCAGTTTCTTAATAAATATGAAACCCTAGGTGAAATCTGGTAAAACCAAGTCTAGACGTGTGCTATGCACATCATGATGGAGTACAGAAGTAATTTAACATTAGTAAATCTGTTGATTCATCATGGTGATTGGAGAAGGAAAACAGTATTATTTCAGTGTGTGATGTTATTTTATTTTTATTACTTTGGTTTTTGAGACAGGGTCTTGCTATGTAGCCCAGGCTGGCCTCAAACTCGCGGCAGTCCTCCTGCCTCAGCCTCCCGAGTGCTGGGATCACAGATGTGTGCTATCACGCCTAGCTCAGTGTGTGATATATTTTAATTGTTGTGCTTCCTAAAAATTCTTAGAAAGCTAGAAATGGGAAGAAACCTTTTAAAATTTCTTAAAACATCTGTTATGTTGTCATCAATGAGAGAAACAAGATGTTTAGTACTTTGTTTTTATTCAAGATTTGGGGATTCTGAACAATATGATTAAAAAAAAGAATTGATTCATGTATAAATCAAAGGAAGGAGCAAAGTTGTAATTCATAGGACATATGGTTATTTACCATAAAATCAACCAAAGGTTGTTTAAATAGTGAGTTTACTTTGTTTTCATACAAAATAAATGCAGAAAAATAACAGCTTTCTTTTAGCAGATTATATTTACATTTCTTCAAAACCCAGCGTTTATCCTGACAAGAAATAGATGTTTACAGACATATACATATGTATGCTTATTCAGCTTTACTGAAAGAACTGAGTAAAACAAAAAAATGCCAGATCATATTTGGAAGGACATAGCATAATAACAGTATTCATTTATGTCCAAATTTATAAGTTTAGCATACTTACAGTAAAATCTCTAAAGATTTGTGGAAATTAAGAAGTAAGTTATGTACGTTTTAGCAGTAGAAATCAGTAGTGTAAAACTAGTGCTGCCATATGTCAGTGTAAAAAAAATTAAGAATTTGAGTCAATAAACAAATGGATTATAAATAAATGTTATTAGGCTAATTGGCTATTCATTTGGGAAAAAAGCTAATCAGGTTCTTTTTTCACATTATACCAAAAAATAAATTCCAAAGACTGAAGTTCTGAAAGCAAAACAAAACAAAACAAAAACTTAGTTTGAAGATGAGACTCTTAAGATAAAAATGGAGAAAACGCTACAGATGAAAAAGTATGGTTACACTAACATTATATACATTCTTGTAATTGAATGTTGTACAAAGTTACATTTTATTTCTAGAATAACTTTTATAGAAAGTGAATACATGCATGCAAGCATAGAATAGTAGTCTGGAATTATTAACAGTGGTTACCGTGGGGAAGTTGGATTGAGGTTTGAGGAGTTAGGAGACACTGATTTTTTTTTTTTTCTTCTTAGTACCGGGGAGTGAACTCAGGACCTTGTGCTTACAAGGCAGGTCCTGCACTGCTAAGCTATATCCCTGGCCCAAGCTACTGTGTTTTGTTTTGTTTTGTTTTTTCTGGTACCAGGCACTGAACTTGGGTCCTTGTGCTTGAGAGACAGGCGCGGTGCCACTGAGCTAAATGTCCAGCTCTGACACTGATTTTTGATATTTTTTCACTTTTTAAAAAATATTTTGTAATTACCAAGAAAGTATAAAATTAATTCTGGATTTAATCCCTTTCTGTGACTTACGTGTTTTGGGAAAAGTATTAAAATTTATCAGAGTTGACTCCTGGTACCAGAAAAGAAAAAGAAGACAGAAGACCAGAAAAAAATTTACCAGAGTTACTGTCCTGTTTTCTAATTTATATTGTGAAATAACCCTATTTACTATTCCACTATGAACATGAAATAAAATATTTAAAGTTCTTTTTTGCAAAAAGAAGTATTGAAATACCACACCTGCCTTGCCAAGTGCAAGGCACTGAGTTCGATCCCCAGTACCCCCCCCCAAAAAAAACCTAAGGATAGAAAAAAGTTTAAAGCATTTTGAAGTGCTTGGCAAAAGGACTGTGAAAAAAAAGGTAAACTAAGACATATAGGTATTCTGTAGACTTTAGAGTGCTAAGCATTTTAGTTTTCTGTTAGCAGTTTACAAAGTCAATGGTACTGTTTTGTTTAGTTTTTATACAGTCTCGGGGTTTTAAAACTTTGAAATCAAGGACACGACGTCTGCAGTCCACCTCTGAAAGATTAGCAGAAACGCAGAATGTAGCGCCATCATTTGTGAAGGTAATTAGACGTTTTTCAGTGTTTCAGAAAGGAATAATTTTCAAATTATCAATACAGTGAGGACATTCAATATATGATTTCTTTTGCTGGCCGATGAATCTTTTTCCCTTCCTATCCATTAATAATAAGAAATAAATGACTTCTGTAATCATTATACCTGTTACAACTCCCCTGGGCACCAGACTTGGTTCTTCTTGCTTATTACACAGCTGCTGATTGTATTTTTCCTACCCACCTGTGTGTGCCTATGTGTACCTTGTATAAACAAGTAGCACCCACCTAAGCTAGCAACCTACTGATGAGTCAAGACTTGTCTGTCTTTCCTCACTTTTTGCATTATTAATCACTGTGGATCCTTTGGATCCAAACTCTTTCAGTATTTCTTAAATCTTTTCATGTATTTCCAGTCCTACTGTCATTTATGTGTTTTAGCCATTTTTTACCTAGATTACTCTTCATACCCATTTACTCTCTTTGCCTCTAGTCTTGCTACCTTTGTCTTGTTTCCGCATCCACTTGTAAGTCTTTCTTAGATAATCTAGAGCCTGGGCATTGGCCATGTTGCTCAGTGGTAGCATGCTTGTCTACCATGCATGAGCCCCTGGGTTCAATCCCCAGCATGTCAAAAAAGTAAAGATATTCAATAATAAAAGGATGATCCAACTCAGTCTGGTATACAGGGCAGGCCTGTCATTGTTTGGCCTCTGCTGACCATTTTTCTGTTCTCATTTTCAGTGTGCCACTTAGTCTGTTCCCCTGTCCTCTGCTTTTGACCTTTAAACTGTGTCAGATTACAAACAGTTCCTGAGTACTGTGTCGTGGCTCTATCAGGTTGTTCCCTCTGTGTGGCTTCCATATCCCATTCTCTGTTAGGCCTTTCCAGTGTCCATACATAGCATTTCCTTTACTACCATGCCAGTACTTACAATGATAGCAACATAATTTTTTAAAAAATAGTTATTTATGTACCTTTTCCCAGTAAACTGGAAACTTCAGGATCATTGACTTACTTGTCTTTACATCATTCAAACTAGGCCTGTTATATGCAAGGTAATGTTTTAAACTTAACGTAATGAAATTTTTCCTCTAGTAGAGATAAAGTGGGGTGAACATAAGTGATTAAAACCCTAAGTATTATGTGACAGTGTGTTCTATAGTGGAGTGCACAGAGTAATGATGCTTTGTGTTAATAGCTGATTTGTGTGATGTGCGATCTAGTGTTAGTATCCTGGTCGGTTGATTAAATAACTTGATGTTGACTCTTAATCTGTTCACATCAGCAATAAGATGAAATTCTGTACTTTCAGTCAATTTTTAGTGGGTGATCGTGACATAAATGGGAAGTGTCGCTTTCTATACAGTTGGCCAGTAAATACTGTTATGTTATTTCATGCATTTAGGGGTTTCTTTTGCGGGACAGAGGATCAGATGTTGAGAATTTGGACAAACTTATGAAAACTAAAAACATACCTGAAGCTCATCAGGATGCATTTAAAACTGGTTTTGCAGAGGGTTTTCTGAAAGCTCAAGCATTGACACAAAAAACCAATGGTAAGTTGACTTGAGAAGAATAACTGAAAGGATGCCATAAGCCTACATTTAAACTATTACAAATGGTTTTTCTAAAGTCATCTGTGTTGTTTCCCAGCACTCGGGAGGCTGAGGCAGGAGGATCACCATAAGTTTGAGATCCGCCTGGGTTACATAGTGATTTCAAGGCCAGCCTGCACTGCTTAGTGAGATCCTGTCTAAAAAAAAAAAAACCATCCATCTTTACAAGGTTTATTCCATTGCATTTGTAAGTTAAGCTGTGTTGAGTGGAGATACTATTGGCAGTTTCACTTTCCCAGGAGAGAAACCAAAGGCAAGGACAGAAGCATATGTGGTTTCATGAAGTTTTGAGGAAAAGGGTGCTGAAAGGCAACCATGCAATTGTGCACAAGAATGCCAGCTTCCAAAATTCATGTGATAAAAGTATGGTTATGAATAACCTAATAATTGCATTTCATTAAGGTGTAATATCTCATTGGTGGCATTTTACTTAAAGCTTTCTCTTTTTCTTCCAGATTCCCTAAGGCGAACTCGGCTAATTCTCTTTGTTATAGTGCTATTGGGCATTTATGGACTCTTAAAAAATCCATTTTTATCTGGTAAAGGCTCTTTATCTTATCTTTATCTTACATGTTACTTTTAAATTTCTTTAAATACTCTTCTTTTCAATGTTTATAGATTTATGATGTGGGCTTTTTGTGATGCTATAATGAAATATCCAAGGCTGGGTATTTTATAAAGAAAAGAGGTTTATTTAGCTTGCAGTTCTGGAGGTTTGTGGGCATGGCACCTAGTGAGGACCTCCTGGTGGATTGCATTACAAAGCCTTTCATTCCTAGTGGTTAGTTTCCCAGATAGTTAGAAAATAATACATGTTGGATGATCAAATTTTAACATTATGTAGAACTTTATAATAATAAAAGGCAGACAGTCTTATGTTTCAAAGACAAGTCCATAAATTGAATTTTTTCTTAAAATAACTTTAAATAAATTCATTATTTTTTCAGTTTGCAGTTCTGAATTATAATTATAATATCAGATTTAAGTGGTTCCAATTACTTTCTCAGCTGTCATTCAGTTTCTACCACGTTCATTCTCTACATTTTATTAGGCTCAAACTGTTAGTGTCCATTCTAGAATTAGTGTTGTATGTATTTGTTCTCTCACTTGTATGTTCTTGGTATATTAGGCAGTTCTTCTTTTTGTTGGTTTCTTTTTTGCTTTTGTCCGAGGGACTGAACCCTGGACCTGCACTGAGCTATGACCCTAGTCCTTTTTTCTGTTTTTTATTTTGAGACAGAACCTCACTGAGTTGCCCAAGTGGACTTGAGCTTGAGATCCTCCTGCCTCAGTCTCCCAGGATATTGGGATTACAGACATGTGCCACCACGCTTGGAGAGGGTTTCTTTCTTTTGCCTTACTTTTTGCCTCTAAATGTCACTGTATCTAAATGACAGTATTTTATTCTCCTGAGGAAATTAGAAATCATTCTTTCTTTATAACTGCTGTAGTTGAGAACTTGGACCTGAGGAGCAATTTTTTTAAAAAGCCTTGTAATAGTTGCCCAGAGTGGCTCTCAAATATCTTATCAAACTTTTCCTCTACTTGACAAGTGAAATAATTTAAGTTTTCCTTTTTTAAATGAATGGCTCAGTTTTTCATAGTATGTTTAAGGCAGTATATTTCACAGTGTAGATTTGTGACCAGTTGTATTAGAATAATTGAAGGTGCTTGTTAAAAATGCATCTTTGTTCCGCCGCCTGCCTTACAAGCGCAAGGACCCGAGTTCAATCCCCAGTACCCAAAAAAACCAAAACAGAACAAAATAAAAATGCATCTTTGCGCCAGGGGTTTAGCTCAGTGGTTCCCCGCCTGCCTGCCTCGCAAGTGCAAGGTCCCAAGTTTGATCCCCGATACCCACCCCCATGCATCTTTAATTATCATCAAATCCTGGGCTCTTTCTCAAATCTGCAAACCGTAAGTCTATAGCATGGTCTTGGGGACTTGCATTTTAACATCATTCTCAAGTGATTTTTTAAATTCATACTGAAATTTGATAACCATTGATTTAAGGTTTCTACTGTTGGGTTTAGAAGGAGAAGAGGAATAATTCTTGATTTTAACTGGAAAGTGTAAAAGTGTATCTCTTTAATGTGAATCATTTGCTGTTTGAAGATGGTCTAGAAATCCAGAAAACCTAGTTTCTGTTCTTTACTTTGATTCACTGTGTTTGAACTGAGAATTCTCAGATGTTTAATTTTTGTAGGCTGCGCTTGCATCTAAAAACTAAGTTGGTTGGAATTTTCTTAATCCAGCAAATATTAACATTTTCTTCCATTTAGTCCGCTTCCGGACAACTACAGGGCTTGATTCTGCAGTAGATCCTGTTCAGATGAAAAATGTCACCTTTGAACATGTTAAAGGAGTAAGTTAAGATTTTTTTGCCTTCTCTATACACTATGTGATTGATACTCTGTAAGATTGGCTTTTGAATCTAAAGATTGCTCTGGAATAGATAAATTAAATAAAAAAATTAGCAACCTTATTAGTATCGTTATGGGGGACCAAAGTAAAGAGGCTCAGGAGTTCTGGGAGAGGGCTGCAATTTTAAATAAGATTTTCCAGGTTTAGAATCAAATAAGTAAAAAATAGTAGGAAATAAGGCCAGGGAGTAGTATAGGACCAGATTGCATAGTGTCTTAGAAGCCATTATAAACACTGACTTTTACTCTGTAAAAATTGGTTACATTGAAGAATTTTGAACAGTGAAATGGTATGGTTTGACTTCAAGTTTAACGAGAACGGTCTAGTCCCTGTGTTCGTAACCTCTAGAGTCTAGAAAGGACAGCGGTAGATAAGAGGCTGTTGCCGTAGTCCAGGCAAGCGGTGATGGGCCTTAGGCATACATTACTGCAGTGGAGTTGGTGAGATGTAGTTAGAATCTGAATGCATGTTTTGAAGGTAGACATGGTAGGATTTCCTGGTTAGAACTTAACAGGACAAGAGAAAGAAGAGTCAAGAAGACCACATGGTTTGAGTATGAACAGTTGGAATAGAATTGCCATTTTCTGAAATTAAAAAAACAGGCTGTGAGGGGAGCACAAATTGGGAGCAAAGATTAGAAATTCAGGTGTAGATGTGTTAAATGTGAGGTATTCAAATGAAAGCATTGAGTATGCACTTGGAAGTATCATTTTGGAATTTGGGGAAAGGTTCAAACTAAAATGAAACCTCCCCAAGTTTATGTTTATAGACACTAGGCCTGTGTGTTCAAATGAGATCACCAAGGCAGTGAGTATGACTAGAACAGAGAGGAGGTCTTAAGTTTAAGCCATAGAGCACTAAAGCTTTAGTAGGACAGAGAAGAGGAACCAGGAACAAAGGTTGAGAAAGGTAAGGGTGATAAACTGGAAGGAAGAATTTCCGTCATGAGGGAGAGGGGTCAGCTGTGTGAAACAGTGTCGATGGGTCAAGTGAGAATCGGACATTTGTTTTCGCACTGTGTAGGTCATTGGCGTACCTGGTAATGAACAGTTTCAGTGGGATAGCAGGGGTTAGATCGTGAAAGTCATTAGTTGGCAAGAGATAGCAGATGAGATGGATAGGCAACTATAAATAATTCTTAAATTCCATTTGAAAAAAGATGCATAGATAATTCATCTCCTAGCAGGAAGTGAAGTAGGATGTTAGTAAAGTAATAGTGAAAGTTGTGAAACCAGAGCCAAGGTCATCAACTGAGAATATGGCTGGAAGAGAGATGTGTAATTTCTAAAAAAGGTACAGCATTTTGTGACGATAGGAGAATGAGTGGATTAGGGAAATATGACTGGAACCCCTCAAATTTGAGATCATGAATTTATATCAAGACCAGGAAGCACAAATATTTTCTTCTACTGATTTCTGTTTATCTCATCAAATATGAATTGTGGAATTTTAGTTCTGTACTGTAATCTTAGTGTTCTCGACTAATCTGATGTTTTTTATTTTGGGGATGATAGATAGAGACTGGATAATTGTCTTCCAGGGAATGTTTTGGGGAGAAATCTTTCTGTAAGATGGATTTGAAATTCATGACCTAAAGATTTCAACTCTGAAGGAGGCATGGCACCAAGAGCTGTTTGCTGGGTGTGGTGGCTCATGCCTGTAATCTCGGCTACTCAGGAGGCTGAGTCAGAAGGATTACAAGTTAGAAGCCAGTGTGGGCAATTTAGCAAGACCATGTCTCCAAATAAAAATCTATGTTCTCAGTGCTTGAGCATCCCTGGCTGGGCTCAGTCCCCCGTTCTGCAGTCAGTCAGTCAGATTAAAACAAAAAGGCCTGGGGATGGGTCAGGACTTAGTGTTCATTGGGTTCAATCCCCAGTGCCGTCGCCGCCACACACACGCACACACACACGTGCACGTAAAATTTATATGGGCTTTTTATAATAATTATTTTATTGATCTACTTTAGCACCATTTTCCTCAATGGGTTTTATATTTTTCAATTGGGAATACTCTTGCCCAAGGAGTTGGGAGAGAATGAAGTAAATTTGAGAAGTAAATAATGTTTCATCTCTTTTACTTTATTCTTACAACTTAATGTTGGCATTATGTCCAAGGGGGAAGGTTTCAGACAGGGCCTCGCTGTATGTTCTAGGCGGGTCTTGAACTCCCTATGTAGCCCAGGCTGGCCTCAAACTCTGGCAATCCTTCTGCCTCAGCCTCCCAAGTGCTGGGATTAACAAACATGTGCCACCACGCCCAGCTGATTATTTTGATCAGTTTTATTTCAGTCTTTTCCTGTGTGGCTATCTTTGAATACTTTTTTAAATATATACCTTTAAAAATTAATCTGCCATTGAATGAAATTTTATTTCAAAATAATTTGTATATTTGTACAAAAGACAAATACAATTATATAATCTAAAACTGCAGTTAGGAAATTTGGGAAGAAAAAGAGGGGGGTAACATACCCTTGTAAGCATACTGGTGAGTCAGAGGCTTTTAAGTGTGGAAAGAAAGATGTGACTAAAAGAGCTGTATTACAGCAGTTTACATCGTCGTCATATATATTGGGTTTATTTTTTGGTTTGGTTTTGTTTTTGAGACAGGCTTTCACTCTTGATCAGGCTGGTCTTCGAAGTTCTGGAACTACAGGGGTGTGCCGCCACACCTGACTTTCTGTATGGGAAAAAGCATGCTCTTCTGATAAAACAGCCAAACCCTTTTAAACACAAAGTTGTCGAAGTGTAACATGTTCACACGGAAGTGCGCAGACCCTAAGCCGTCACAGGGTGAGCACACCTGTCAGTGCCCCACCGACAGCTGGTGTTAACCGGCCCACAGAGCCTCTCCTGAGCCTCTTTTCTGGTGACTGTCTCCCCCCCGTGGGGAAGCATTTTCCTGATACTGTACATTAGTTTGAATAGTTGTAATACATGTAGAATGTGCCCTCTTAGATTTGCCTTCTTTCTTTCAGCATGATGTTTTTGAGATCCAGCCGTGTTACCTGGACTCGTAGTCAGTTTATCCTCATGGCATAATATGCCATTTTATAAATGTCGCAGTGCTGTGTATTCTCATCTAGGTTTTCCTGTGGGGGTTTCTAATTTGGACTCCAGTAGTGTTGGCATGAATAACATTCTTGGACATGTGTCTTGGTGTGCATGTCTTCTGGCCTTGGAGTAAGCAGGGCTTGTTTTCCTTTAATGGTCAGTGCTTTATTACTAATATTTAGTAGTCATGCTCAGTCAACAAGGCCAGCAGAAACTTGTAGATACTCTGCTAAGTGAGTGGCACACTATTAATTTTTTCTCAGTGTAGTAACATTAAAAGAATTTTTCTATCCTTTATTCATGCAATTTTGCAAACCGGGGAATAAAGATACACGCAAGAAGAGCAGGGCTTTGTTTTTAACCACTAACTTCGTGAACATTTTCATACAAATTTTAAGGGGTTAATCAGAGTAACTCAAATACCTACCACGCCCAACAAAAACTAACCTCAAAAAACTTTCTGATTCTTTAGCAATCATAATATTTTCTAGCCAGGTGTGGTGGTGCACGCCTGCAATCCCAGCACTTGGGAGGCTGAAGCAGGAGGATCACTGCAAGTTCCAGAGCAGCCTCAGCTACATACTGAGTTCAAGGCCACCTTGAACTGCAAAGTAAGACCCTGTCTCAAAACCAAACCAAATCAAACAAAAAAAAATTACAGTATTTTCTGGAAATACTTGTGAGAAATTTCTTAGAAATACTGTAGAAAGTAATGACTAAAAATTTTAGGTTTTCAGATTGGCCTATGGCCATGTTTTACTGTACTCTGGGTAGTTTCTTTTTCACCTTTCTTGATGTTATCCTTGCTTTTTTTCCCTCACTGAGAAAATGTAAGAAGTTCAAATGATTTTTGTTGCCATAATTAGGAGATGTTGTATAACCTTGGAAATAAGGATAAGGAGAGAAGCTTTTGAGTGTTTATGGTGGGGGCATTTTGTATACTTATTCCTGGACGTAAAGAGAAGGCCAAGTTAATTCTATAACCAAGTAACATTTGTGACGTTTAAAGAGGACGCCTTGGTATTTAACCAACTAGAAGCACAATTTAAAGTATTTGACAAATTATCTTACTTTAGGTGGAGGAAGCTAAACAAGAATTACAGGAAGTTGTTGAATTCTTGAAAAATCCGCAGAAATTTACTGTACTTGGAGGAAAACTTCCAAAAGGTAGAGTGTCATTTCCCCTCACCGTGATTACATGTCAGTAAATACTGTGATATGTTATTAATTTTATTTTCTCAGTGTGACTGATTAAAATTTAGTTCTTAATTGCTATTTTTAAAAATATGTACTTTCATTTTGAACATGTGCTTCTACAACGCTTTTTTTTTTGGCTACTGAGGATTGAACTCGGGACCTTGCGCTTACGAGGCAGGCGGCATACAACCCTTTTTTTAATAATTTACTTGCTTTTTGTATATTGAAACATTTGTGTTTTTTGTTTGTTGCTTTTTTTTTTTTTTTTTGGTACCGGGGATCGAACTCGGGTCCTTGCACTTTCAAGGCAAGCGGCGGAACCACTGAGCTAAATCCCCGGCCCTGTATATTGAAACATTTAAGTTGCAGGAATGGTCTGAAAATTTGTTCTTCCCATACTTGAAACCCACACTCACTAGTTTTTAGTATTTTGCTGGCTTTTTCTCTTCACACACATCCATTTACTTACCCATTTAAGAGTAAATTGTAGACGTAATACTCTGTTACTCCTAAATATAGGTCTTGTGATAGGGAAACTGTGAATAAGGGTATTTTATGCAATTCCAGTATAATTATTGAAAGTAGTAAATTTTTTGATACAAAACTATTACCCATTCACATTCCATAACTAGATGTCAGCATTTGTTCTGACAGTATCCTTGAAGGATTATCCAATAGTGTCCTTGTCCTCCACCCCTCAGTGTCAAGAGCCAGTCCAGGAGCACACGTAGATTCAGTTTTATCATTAATATGAGACAGTTCTTCATCCTTTTTGTTAAGGGGCTGAGGGAGGGGGAGGAGAGGGTCTTTTATGATCTTTACAATTGTGAAATGTTAATTACTAATATTTATAGCATATTTAACTTTTTATTGAATTTTAATAGGGTTTCCAATTTTTTGTTGTTAAAAATAGCATTGTGGGGCCGGGGATTTAGCTCAGTGGTTTTGCCGCCTGCTGCACAAGTGCAAGGAGCCAAGTTCAGTCCCTGGTACAAAAAAAAAAAATGTGGCATTGTGTTGGGCCGGGGATTTAGCTCAGTGGTACTGCACCTGCTTCGCAAGTACAAAGTCATGAGTTCAATCCCTGGTAACCCCCGCCCCGGACAAATAGCATTGTGTTGACTATACTAGCATAGCCTTTGTCCTTGTTCTTAATTATTTCCCTAGGATAAATTTCTAGTAGACTTGCTGAGTTAAAGAGAAACCCTCTTTCTTATACTGCTTGATATCTCTATTGAGAATTTAGGAGTGTATGAGAATGTTTGCATGAACCTTTGCTAATTTAGGGTACACTTATGAAGTCAGTGCTATAACATAGAAAACCATAGAAAGTTATTTGCTTTCAAATCAAGGAGTATTTTATAAATGTGTGGAAAATCTGCAGGTACTAAGATGTCTAGAGAAGTTAGAATGATTTAAATTGTTAATATGATTCACACCAGTTAGGGATCAGTAAAACTAGGATAGTCCTCAGTCTTTTTGAGCATTTCTTTTTTTTTTGGTACCGGTGATTGAACTTGGGTCCTTGCGCTTGCACAGCAGGAAGCGAAACCACTGAGCTAAATCCCTGGCCCTTGAGCTTTTCTTTAAAAATTTTTTGTTACAGTGCAGCATCAGTACAGTTTCATTACTTTTTTTTTTGGTACCAGGGATCGAACTCGGCACCTTGTGCTTGTGAGGCAGGCAGTGGAACCACTGAGCTAAATCCCCAGCCCCAGCTTCATTACTTTTGAAATATAGTCTGTATATTTACAAAGCTGTGATATAAATCAGAATTTTATTTTTCTAGCTTAGGGAAACTTTCAAACTTTTGGTATAGCTTAAAAGAATAGTACAGTTAACATCTGTATATTATCTGCCTAGACTCAACAATTGTTAGTGCTTTGTAATACTTACTTTTTTATGTGTACACACACACATACACAAACGTGCGTGCATATAGTGTGCTTTTTTCCCCTGAACATTTGAGAGAAACCTCTAGGTAACATCTACTTTGGTATATATCCATGCAAGAATAGCATTATCCTAATTCATCCTTCTCAAGGAAAATATCATATACTCTCCAATATTTGTTTTTTATGGGAAAATATCAAGATTCATGCATTACATTTGATTGTCTTTTAATGTCAGTTTTATTTACTATATAAATAGGTTTATATTGTTTTGCTTCATAATGTGTTTATATGCTTCTGCTTATATAGAATATATAAACATCACCTCTTGTTTTGTTATCTTACTGATATATAAACACTATTTAAATGACAAAGGAAAATTAATTATAGAGATCCTGAAGGGAATGATTAGCAGACACAAATGTTTTCCTGTGTTTGAAAATGTTGATTGGTATCCTTTCAGCCTCAAAATTGTATAAATTGTTTCATAGGTTCTTACTATAAAAAAGTTTTTTAATAAAAAGTTTGAATCATTTTTGTTTTTCTTTTAGGAATTCTTTTAGTTGGACCACCAGGAACAGGAAAGACACTTCTCGCCCGAGCTGTGGCAGGAGAAGCTGATGTTCCTTTTTATTATGCTTCTGGATCAGAATTTGATGAAATGTTTGTGGGTGTTGGAGCCAGCCGAATCAGAAATCTTTTTAGTATGTTGTAGTGTATTTTTTTATGCAGTGTTAAATTTTGTTAATTTTAAGGAAAGAATGCTTCTTATCTTTCTTTGCTAACTGGTTGTACAGCTAAAAGAGGCATTGTAGGCTTCTGGTTTTAGATAACTTAATATATGAGGTCATATAGAGCCGTTATTAGTTTTCTGATCCTCTTAAGAGGTAATAAAAGTGCTAGATGAGGCTAGGGGCTTCTGGAAAACACTTAGGTTTTTTTTTTTTCCATTTTCCATTGACTTTTTTTTTTTGGTACCAGGGATCGAACTCGGGTCCTTGCGCTTGCGAGACAGGCACTGGAACCACTGAGCTACATCCCCGGCCCTTTTTTTTTCCATTTTATTCATCAATTCTGTAATTCGTAATTAGGAGTTACTAGCCTCTAATGTGATTTTATATATATATATATGTATATGTACAACTAGGAAGAATACCATAGTCAATTGTTATTTTATATCATTCTCTTTGGTTTATTTTTCCCCATCACATCCCCATACTACTATTCTTAGTAAAAAATGAACTCCTTTTGTGCATTTTCTTCCTATAAATTTAAAATTTTTTGATAGTCTTACCATTTTAATATTTATAAGGTTTTGTTTAAAAAGTGTTGATTTCTTTCAACTTATTTGAATACTTTGTTTTCATAGGAGAAGCAAAAGCAAATGCTCCTTGTGTTATATTTATTGATGAATTAGATTCTGTTGGTGGAAAGAGAATTGAGTCTCCAATGCATCCATATTCAAGGCAGACTATAAATCAACTTCTTGCTGAAATGGATGGGTAATAGTCTTCATTTGTGTGTGGAATATGATGATATGTTTTAAAAAATAGAATTGATCTTGTTTTAAAAATTGTTCAAAATAATAGGTCCCTCCCAGCATTTGATACATGTAGATGTGTTCTCAGAAAGCATTTGGTAACATTCAAATAGATAAGAAAAATGCTATGAGTATAGGCAACAAAGTACTCCTTACAGAAAGTCAAGACAAGTTTTTCCTCTCAGTATTGTATTGCTTCCATTACCAATTGGGTATTTTGTATATCAGCTCTGCTCCTCTTTTAAATTTGTGGTGTGTATGCCTTTTTTCATTGATTACATATATTTACAGTAGACTAGTTGTCTGTTTAAAGAAGTAAAAAAGTGGCCTGGGGATGCAGCTCAGGTGTAGTGTGCTTCCTTAACACAAATTCCCCATTACAAATCTCAGTGCCACACACAGAAAACACAAAGACACTGGTTCTTACACAGTTTATGGCTGCCTTTGAGTGCTGTGATGGATTAAGGCTTAGATCATTGTTCGTAATATAAAAGCAAGCAGTGGTGTTGCTTTGAAAGAAGTGTCTTAAAGTCAAGTGTGTGAGACATTTTGGAAATAAAGTCTGCAGTGTTTGTGGGGTTCGGGAGATTCTGGAGGGTGGACCCAGGGAGCACTGAGCTGCAATCCCGCCTTTTGTCATTATTTGATGGGCCCAGCCCAGGCTGGCTTTGAACTTGGGACCTTCCTGCCTCAGCATCCCCAGTAGCTGGGATTGGCAGGGATGGTCACCATAGCTGGTTTAGGAACACATATTTTGAGTTGGTAAAACAGAGGAGTTTTTAAAAAGTGAACCAGGCACCCAACACAAACTTTCTGTGTCAGGCCACGTTTTCCTAAGTAGAGCAGATACGAAGATGTGATCACAGATGATTGCTGGTTTGTTACGAGTCTCTTCTCGACTCTTCACTAAAATTAATGACAAAGAGTTGTGTGGTTGCTGTATGTGTAATATGCTTCAATTTTAAGTGAAAGGGCACTTTTTTTTTCTTAATAGTTTTAAGCCCAATGAAGGAGTAATCATTATAGGAGCCACAAACTTTCCAGAAGCATTAGATAAGTAAGTATTAAAAGAAAGTTTCTGTAAAACATGTCACATGTTGTACTTTATGCTAAGAGAACAACCCCATCATAGAAGATGGGATTCTATGATCCATTATATGATGTTCAGGATAAGCAGATCTGCAGAGACAGATGTGTGGGCCACAGGATTAGGGGGCGTGGGGACTGACTGCCAGTGGAAATGAAATTTTTAAAAATTGTTTTCTGCTCTGTTTTTTTTGGTACCGGGGATCGAACTTGGGACCTTGCGCTTGTGAGGCAGGCGTCGGAACCACTGAGCTAAATCCCTGGCCCCTTTGAAAATTGTTTCCTCACACTGCTCTGTTTATTTGCAATATAAGTAACATCAAAATGGTTACAAATGTTCTCACAAACTATACATTGATACCAGTTTCTGCACTGAGGATGGCCATGTTTTTATGAAAGGACTTTTAAAAATGAAAACTCACATTCTGAATTTATGTTAACTCTCATTGAGAGTTTCTGTGCATGCTCTGAGATGATGGGAATCATAAAATGCTTTCTCACTTTGTCCACATAGGGTTCCTTTAGTGTCAATTCTTTCATGTATTTCAAGGTAAATAGGAGAATTGAGTGATTTCCCACATTGATTACTCCCATGTGAACTCTTTTATGTAGTACAATGTATTGAGATAAATAAAAATTTCCCACATTGTTCACATATGTTCAAATGCTGGCTCACTGTGAATTTGAAATGGGATTTCTTTTTGTGAGGATGAGAATATTCTAAAATTAGGTTGAAGGCACACCCAACTGTACACTTTAAATTCTGTATTATGTGTGTGAATTACATCTCAATAAAACTGAAAAGATTGGGTTTTTTCTTAAGTATTACAAGTATTTTAGGTGGAAAGCATTTGTTTGTTTGTTTGTTTAGACCAAGTCTTTCTGTATTGTCTTGGCTGGTCTTGAACTTCTAGGTTCAAATGATCCTCCTGCGTCATCCTCCCAATTAGCTGGGACTACAAGCATGTGCCACCACTCTAGAATTACTGCTCTTTGAGTGACTTACACGTGTGTATTTGTTTCTGAGGGCATATGCTACTCTTAGTTGCGCACATATATCTACATGAACCTTTGTTCTGCCTATTTATTTATTTGTTTATTTTTGGTACCGGGGACAGAACTCGGGTCCTTACACTTGCGCAGCAGGCGGCGAAACCACTGAGCTAAATCCCCAGCCCCTGCCTATTTATTTTTGACCTGAAGTCTTGCTATATTGCTCAGGCCCAGTTCAAACTCATAACTTTCCTGCCTCAGTCGCCTCAGCAGCTGAGCTTACAGGCCTGTACCACACACCCAGCTACCTTCTGTTTATTGAGACTGTTGTTTCAGTCATGTGTTTATCATGTGTTAGCATAGTCAGCTTATTAATTTCTGTGTCCTTTTTATGTTTTTCCTTCAGTGCTTTAATACGTCCTGGCCGTTTTGACATGCAAGTCACAGTTCCAAGACCAGATGTAAAAGGCCGAACAGAAATTTTAAAATGGTATCTCAATAAAATAAAGTTTGACAAGTGTAAGTCTTAATTCTACAATACAAATGTTATTGTATCAATAATATGGTAATACATACACTTACTCTCTGTGTTCTTAATGTCTTGAAAGTCCCATTCATTTATATGTCCATTTAAAAATCTATTTCTGAATTTGTGTGCATCCAGGAAAGGCTATCATTTTCGATTCCCTATTCCAAAGGAATTTTTCTTTGGGATATCAGTCAGATATATTTTGAGATTATTTATGTATAGATATTTAAAAAATGCAATGTACAATGCAAAATAATTGAAAAGGCTCCAGAAACAACAGCTCATGATGTAGTCAGTTTCGGGGCAAAAGGGAGAAAAGGGAAGTATAAAACAAGACCCATGGAAATATTATGGACACACTTGAGATATGAATGAACCCATTAAGGCTCTAGTGTTTTCAGAGATAGCTGAAACATTTCCAGAAGCTAAATGTGATTGCTGTAATAAGAGCTGTTACGCCTGAGGTATTTCAAGGTAAAATTCAGGGAATAGAATGTTGTTTGTCAGCATGTTTGTTTGTTCTTAGTTGTTTTCATTTGTTTTTAGGCTGGTAACAGGTCATGTTTGAACTTTCTAATTAGTTAAATTTAGAGCTTTCATGATTTTTCCTAGTTTCAATTTTAATACCATATTTTGGCACCTTTTCCTAATAATTTTAGTAAATTGAGTCTTATTTTAAAAGTGAATATTTTAAGTTATAGTTTAGAATACTTGGGTTCTTTTTTCCTTCAAAATGTGAATTCTTTATGAAGTACTTTCATTTAGCTATTTTAGACTTTAATATTGCGTTCTCTTTTTACATAGCTGTTGATCCAGAAATCATAGCTCGAGGAACTGTTGGGTTTTCTGGAGCAGAGTTGGAGAATCTTGTGAATCAAGCTGCATTAAAGGCAGCTGTTGATGGAAAAGAAATGGTTACCATGAAGGAACTAGAGTTTTCCAAAGATAAAATTCTAATGGGTAGGTTTTCTTTCTTTTTTGTCCTATATTTATGTTAGAGAATGATTTTTTTTTTTTTGGTAAATATTCTTTGTAGACAGCTAAACCCTCAGACTTTGTTGAATTTAATCTTCTGCTAAAATATCAGTCTGTATTGAAATTTGTAATAAACCATTTCACAAGTTCTCAGTTTGAGAGTTAAACAATTCCCAGTAAAGCATATAACAATCATTTCTGTACCTCACTTGTCATTCATTATAGACTTAGTTTTACAGTGTAGCACATTTATTAATTTTGTCTTCTTCTTAGAAGACCTTTTTTTTTCCTGGTTGAAAAGAGAAAAGGTTAAAATAATAATGTTTAGGGCTGTAGGTTGTAACATAGTGGTAGTATTCTTGACTAGCATATGTGAAGCACTGGACTTGATACCCAGCACTGCAAAAATAAAAAGAAAGGTTATAGAAACATGTAATTGTGCCATTGAAAACAGTAGCACAATGTGGCCTCTTAGAGAACCAGTGTATTTTAGTAGCTTATGTGATTACACTGGTGGTCGGGGTAGGGTGCCTGTGCAGTTAGTTCCTCTTATCCAAAATTGCTGATAAAAAGGGTGGTTAATTTTATACTGTTTACTTTTTATTTTGAATCTTAGATTGGCTTAAAAACATTAATTATGAACTCTGATCAATTGGAAGTTTGTTTTTTAGAGAATAAACTTCCCCTTCAGATGTAAGGATTAAGATGATAGTTTCTGTTTTTTCGTTGTTTTGCTCTGATTTGCTTTGTGATACTAGGGTTCAAACCCAGAGCCTCTCATATGCCAGGCAAGTGTTTTACCCTTGGAGGCACATCTCTAACCCAGTTTGATAGTTTTTGACAGGTTTGGTTTGCCTTTAACGGTATGTTTTAATTTCTGTGTGTCACAGATTGAATTCTAGCTTTTAAAACTGTTACACTGTTTAAAATATTTGCTAAGAATACAGTGATAACTTGGTTGTCGAATTTAACTCATTCCGAATTCATGTTTAAACACTGAAAAGTTGAAGAACTGAATGTATTTTTCCCATAAGAAATAATGGAAAACCAAATAATTAGTTCTAAGGTTGAAAAATTACAGTTATAAATTCATTTTTCCAGGACTTTAACACAAATTTAACAGCCCCAGATTGTGGAAATACCCCCTAAAACATCTAAACACAATAAATATCAAAACACAATACAATAAATAAAATTTTAAAATATGTACAAATACTTTATCTTGACTTGAAGGCTTCCTGGTATACGTAAAGCCAGAGAGAAACTGGAGAAGGAGGAGAAATGTTACTTTTTGGAAGGAGAATCTCCTTGGATAATGCTGCTGGCTGTCAGTACACTTTCTGGGGTCTTTTCTCTTGGTCTTTTCTCACTAAAAATTTGCGTGAGAGTGGCGCTTAGACTGAAGCATCACCCCTTGTGTCCGCAGGGAGATGCAATGCATGACTTACTTTTAGTTTGTAAGGTTTTTTCAAGTCTGACTTTTGGTTTGACTATTGAGCAAAGTTACGAACGCTGAGTAGATTTTTTTGAGAGTTGCTGTTCGAGTAGTGAAAACTCGAGTTTGGATCCGTTGGATAACTGAGGTATCACTGTTACTCTTAAGTTGTTACTCTTAAGAATTAGAATGGTTTGTTGTTGGGGCGGCTGTTATTTTATATTAATCCCAAAGCAAAGGGTTTCATTTGATTTAAGTATACCTTCTGTGCAGTACTTACCTAAATTTTTGTTGTAGGCCCTGAACGAAGAAGTGTGGAAATTGATAACAAAAACAAAACCATTACAGCCTACCATGAATCTGGTCATGCTGTTATTGCATATTACACAAAAGATGCAATGCCAATCAACAAAGCTACAATCATGCCACGTGGGCCAACTCTTGGACATGTGAGTTTCCTATGGCTTTTTATTTGCTTTCTAATAGAGCTTTCCAGAAGTTTATGGAAGAAATTGTTGGTTGATTACAGTGAAGCTACTTTTTAAAATTTTGATATTTTCTCTTTTTTAATTCATGAATTCTTTTGAAATCAGAGACATTTGTGAAATCTTTGTTAATAAATCTTCATAATATATTTCA